CTAAAAATTTAATTCAAAATAAATTTTAAATAATATAACATACTTAAACTATAATAAACAAGCGCATAGAAATGTAAACATATCTGGTGCCTATACAGAGTATTATAAGAATATCTCAGTCCCAACATAACAGTATATAGTATTTCAGTTACAAAAATTCATAGTTTTTTAAGTTCGATAAACTCATCTAAAATACATATGTGGGTAGTTAAAAACACGTTCTTCTACCTGTTTCTATTGTTCGCCTTCCCACATGATAAAATTGTTACAGGTGACCGAGGCCATGTACTAATAAGGCATGGTTAAATCAGACAATTCTAATGCCTCTGAGACTACAAATTGTGAATAGCATTAGAATGTAATGTAATTTTTACAGGTATTCTTAATTAGGAATTTGAGAGAGTGTTGATAGTTATATCTTTTTTATCACATTTTATTAAACTATTTTTAGTGTAAGACAACATTTAAAATGACAAATTGTTACAATCCTTGAACGTGTGTTGTAAGACAGCGAAGACGTTATCGCATCCTTAAATGCAAATTATCGAAATCTTCGGTTCTCAGGCCTTGGCAATAGCAGTCGATTACATATACCTATTTATTATAATCGAAGTAACAGTATATTATAATCGTGTCGATTCAATGAGTGTATCCTACCAACTAATCTATTACGTAGAAGTGTTGCGGGTTCAAACCCCACATGGGACAACACTTTGTGTGATCCACAAATTGTTGTTCTGAGTCTGGGTGTACTTTGTGTCCGTTTCATGTATGTTTGTAAAGTCCCCCGCGACACAGAATTTATTCCTAGTGCGGAAGTTGTCTTTTTAAAAAGAAAGAAAGTAAAAAAGAACTTCGAGACTGACACAATATATGTATTAGTCAGTGCACAACCTAAATAATAAGTAGTAATACTTCCAGTATTATTAAAATATGTATCATAATCAATAATAAATTAACTAAATCTAGTATATCTATTTGCGTTATTCACCAATAAACTTTAATACGCATTCGATACCTGGTACAATTTTATTGGCCATTAATATTAGCTCATATCATCCTGGATTGCATAAAAGATTCAGATCTTTCTAGCTCATGCGTTGAGTTTCTGAACTTATAATGTTTTTTGAAACGTTCATATAACTAGTTCAACATTGTGGCAATCACTCAATTAAGTTAATCTTAATCGATAATCTATTTTTTTAATACTACTACGATGACCCTATTATATATATTATACTATATTCTATCAATATTTTGTTGTCAAGTACACATCGTAGTTTTGTTTTACGAAGGGAAGGATGCAGGGGTGTTTTAGCAACTCGAGGGTATCTACTTGGTACCTGAAATTTTATTTATAGTGTTCCGTACCTCCAAAGGAAAAAAACGGTACCCTTTTAAGATCACTTTGTCTGTCTGTCAAGACCCTTTATCACGGGAACGCGTGGAGGTATTGAGTTCAAATTAAAACCGTAGACCTGGGTCTACGGTCCCTTGCAGCTGTAAAATAATAAAACTCCTAACTTAACGTAAAAATAAGATAATGTCGTGTATGCTGCAAAAACGCATATTTCGACACTCTCAAGGGAATCAAAATTCATAGGGTACTTCCCGTTAACTTATATAACCGTTAATATATAAGCAAGTAACATCGCCTTATACTACAAGTACAGGGAAAAATCTGAAAACTATACTTTTTAAAATAGATCACAAAAAAGAAAGTATTTTATTTAAAGTACGTAATCAATCGTCAAGGTACAAATTCTCTTTAAAACTCAAGAATATAAGTAATTATAGGCTTTGGAAACTAAATTTCAGGCAAAGCTCGGCAGAAACTAATAGATTCGACTCCAGAACTACTTATAATATGTACCTACAAAAGTGTACGGAAACGTGTACGGTGGGCGAGTCCGACTTTCACTTTTCCGGATTTCTAATGGAGGACAATTTATAAAAGATCTTAATAATTTAATCAGATAAAAACGGTCAATCACATTTCTCCGTTTCTCCAGTGAAAACATCTTTTAATAGGACTTTACCCTTTTACTCAAACCAGAGATAAATGTTAGGTGCCGGCGAAACCTCTTTTGTATTCTCCTGAGTCTCTCAGTGTTGCGTAATATACAGAATTCATGAAAATGTTAAATACATTAATAATAAATACCTACTGTTTATCATGAATCATTTTGATCCATTTCAAGGTTGCCTGGCAATGATTACATTAGTAATATGGCCGCTTTTTGTACTTTACAAGCCAGACGTGTATAATTATTTTTATTTATTTATATGCTTGTTACTTAAACTGCGGGTCAAATAAAGAGTTATTATATTTATGTTACCTTTGTCTTAGCTCGTTTATCCTGCACAAAGAATTAGTATCGGTTGCAAAACCACTAGTCATGCTCGCATACCTTGAACTATAACTAATTACAATTGTAATATTTTCAGTCATCTGACAAACAACACCATCTAGTTTTAAACTAAGCAGAGGTTGTACTATGAAAGCTAGATTGACTGATATACTTTTAAGACTAATGTGCTTTTTTTGTAAATACAGACATATTATACATACTAACTCGAAAAGACTTGCGGGAAGAAGCTTTCTAACCGAAGCACACTGATTCAGTATAAATGGCAAATCACTTCCCTATTCCGCTAGCAATTTCTTATATAAAGTTGTTGTTCGCTAATTGGTTGTGTACAAAGTATTCCACCATACAGATTATATTCTTACACCTTACTCCATAGTACAGGAAAACAATAAATAAAAATCTTATAAATATTGAAAATCCTTAATCTCTAAAGGCAGATTATAAATGAGAGGTAAATATAAGAAACGTAGCTATAATTATCACTATTACCCACATTTGTTCGATTAATTGCACCATTTATCATATCGTGTTTTTTACATCCGAACTGTGAAAACGTATGATAGCTACCTACATCGAAAATTATTTTATCACGTTAGCTATCAGCGTGTTCGAATGTCCTATAAATTTGAATTATATGTTTGTTGTAATACACACATTAAAAAAGTCTAAGCAACACGCATTATTTACAGAAACTGCATGTTATTTTATTTTCTCTTTGATTTTTTTCTTCTTAGCAAAATAGATTGGTATACAATCCTCCTAGTTCTCGAAAACATATTCTTGCCGATTTTAAAAATAGAAACTTTTTAGAAAAAAACACAAAGATAGTAAATGGTGAAATGTAGAAAGCTGTAGGAATACTACAAGCGGGAAGAAATCAGTCCCAGGTATCTCGGCATTTTAGTATCAATAGGAGCGTGATTTGTTGTCTTTGGCAGCGTTATGTTAATACAGGGGATCTTGCTGAGCAGCACCCAAGACGTGGAAGGAGTACAACTGCTCAACAGGACCGATACATACAAGTGACTGCAAGACGGCAGCCGATATTAACCCCCTGGGAGATAGATTTAAAGCTACAATTCTCAAGCTATGTTGCTGTTAGCCACCAAACCGTGAGAAATAGGTTGCATAAATTACGGCCTACGAGCACTACGCCTAATTAGGAGCCTTCCTACACGCCGGGAATCGCGTCCGTCGAAACGAATGGTGTAGGGAACACTTGACATGGGTCCAGAAGCAACGGGATAAAATTTTATTTTGCTATGAGTCCCGGTTTGGATTTAATCCTGATAAGTAGGAGGGTGAGAGTGTATCGTCGTCCCGGAAATGCTGAACGGCTGAGATGCCTCCAGAAAGTGCATCCTTACTGTGGCTCCACAGTAATGGTATCATGAACAACAGACGAACTGAGCTCGTTTTTGGAGACGGCAATATGTTGAAACGTTGACCGTTGAAACTTACATTGTAGACGGCTTTGGGACTTATGTTTTCCTATTTGCACAAAATCTTGGCTCAGATTTCATGTTGATATGCTCAGCTTGAAATCTGAGCCAAAACTTGTCATAGGACAATGCGCGTTCGCATGCAGCTCAGAGGACCAGAGAGTACTTGGCAAAAGAAAACATCCGGGTATTGCCGTGGCCTGAACAATCGCCAGACCTCAATCCCATCGATCAGGCATGGGACTTGCTCCAGAGACGTATTTTAGAGAACCTGGACGGAGTGTCGACAACCCAACCACTGAAAGACTTGTTAAAATTCCATTGGGAGCGATTACCGCAGGATCAAATAAACAATCTTATAAATTCAATGAAAATCGTTGCCGACAAGTTTTAAACAACAGAGGCGACCACAGTTTATATTGAATTACTAAAGAATTTAAAAGAAATGTCGTTATTTAATTTTGCAAAACATTAAAATTTAATTTCTGTTATCTTTCTTTTATACTACGTGTGATACGGTACACATATTATTAAATATTATGATTAAATTAACAATTGAATGAAGGATTTTGTTGCTTTATTTGTATCTGTCACTAATGCAAAGAATGCTTACTTATTATTTATAAAAGAAATATAAATATATTACAACAGTAAAAATGGTTCAAAAGTTCAAAATCGTATATGTTCTTTAGACTTTTTTGATGTGTGTATAATGTACAGATACAAGTAAAAGTTAAACACATGTATTTAAGTATTTGTTTTAATCCGGTTTTAAGCAAAGTTCGAATTTAAGTTGTTTTTATCGATGGGACTCCGAACACCCCCCCCCCCACCCCCACCCCGTCAAGAGGCGATAGCCATTTGTAAAGGCAGTAACAGACCGCCGCAGCTGCAATACATCTAACATACATGTTGCTTCAAAAAAGGCCACTGCAGCCTTCAATAGCTTATTGTAACTTATATAATACCTCTTGATCCTATTCTGTATTGTCTTATGCACTGTAACTTATCTCTGATTTATATAAGTGAGGATTTGTTATTGGCTATCTGTTTTCTTGACTGTTTTTATTGTGATCATCATAGCTGTAACTCCTCCATAGTTGTAATAAATAAATAAATAAATAAGTAATACTACTCCTGCGAAGCCTTTAGCCTGTTTGTTAAATAAAATGTGTACCTTTTCCAGGATCTCCGTGGAAGGTCGAGGTGATGGCAGGGCCGGCGGGTGGCGGAGGAGGGGAGCCCACTCGGCTGATCCCTGCAAGAGTTCCAGCCGTCTTCGAAATAACCACCTCACCAGGGACGGCTACGTTCAGTAAAAATGAGGTAATTTTAGTCACTTTGATTGTATACTACTTGTATATTGTGTAATGTATACTTGTATATTGTCTAAATGCAGTTAATAGGTTATTTTGATGTAATTAACTAAATGTTGTTAGAACTTCAATTCATTTTCACTTTCAGATCAAAAGTACAAACTGCAGTAGTATAACAGCAGTAGATGTTTTTTTCTTTTTCTATTTTAAAAAGACAACTCCCGAATTAGGAATATATCCTGTGTCGCGGAGGACTTTACAAACATACATGAAACGGACACAAAGAATACTCAGAAGAATAATTTGTGGATCACACAAATTGTTGTCCCTCGTGGGGATCGGACCCACAACCACTACGCCATACGTGCAGTCAACAGAGAACAGTCAGCAGATGCTAGAAGTATATATACGTACATCGATTTAGGAAAGGCTTTTGATACAGTCACTTATAATTTTTTTTTACTAAGCTAACTATCATAATCTGACACTACTAATAAATTGACTGCCTCCGTGGTGCAGTGTTAGCGTGTGCGACTCGGTCTCGAGTTCGATTCCCGGGTTGGACCAAATGTTTGTATGAACTGCAAATATTTGTTTCGGAGTTTGGATGTTTTCTATGTATAATATGTATGTATTTACGAAGAAAAGCATATAGGTATCCTATCTGTCAATATAGCTTTCATGGTACAAGCTCTGCTTAGTTTGAAACTAGATGGCGTTGTGTGTTGATGTCTGAAAATATAAAAAATAAATAAAAAATATATACATTAAAATGATTTGGCCTCAAAAATGTTAGTCATATTGGACAAACAGATGTCATAGTACAAATGGGAAAATAATACAAGTAGTGTCTAAAAATAGAGTAAAATATATCTATGTACTAGTTTAGTACGTACAATGTACACACAAAGTCACATTTTGTCATATATCTAAAAGAAATATGGAGTATTGCCAGCCAAACGAAAGTGCACAAATGAAAGAGACTATAATATAAAATACTTTTAGTTACCTTTCGAAAAAATCACAAATGACAGAAGGCAATCCTCAAGGTCTGTGTTTTCTAAACTTCGTACTGGGAAAAAACTCACTAGCTTCAAACGATTGTGTAATATAATATTATTTATATAATAAAGAATGCAAATACATTAAGCGTTGCAAATTTAATTAGAGTTAACTTGATTAATAAAAAATTAAATTACAGTTAACTCGATTAATACATTAGAAATACCTAAATAGTAATTAAAAATATCTTAAAAGTGACTCGTGACTGTATGTGCTAACCATTGTATCAAATTAATTAAAATGAAACTCAGTCCTAAAAAGTGGATTGGTAATCTTTTCCTTAAAATACATTCTTTAAATTCATCTTTTTCTCAAAATAGTTAGCTATTTAAGTTTCAGTAACATTATTTTATTCACACATCAGCCTTTTTAGGGTTCTGTTTTTTCCTTTTGCGGTACGGAACCCTTATAGGATATATTTATAACCGTTTCGACACTCGACACTCTCAATCAAAATTATGCAACTGATACCTTCTTCTACTACAAGTAGTTATAGGGAAAGATCTAAAAACTATACATTTATAATTCAATCATAAAAAACAGGCTCTTTATGCAAGGAAAGGCGGTCCAAATTTTGAATTGAGTTAACCGTGCCATGTGGGGTATCGTATAAAAGGACTTCATTGGCACAAGGTTAAACAGATTTTCAATTATTATAATGATGTTATAGTTTTCGATTACAAATTTGTACGGAACCCTCGGTGGGCGAGTCCGACTCGCACTTTTCCGGTTTTTTTAATAGTATTGCAGTAGGTACGTAAATAATTAGGCTGCAAGAATATTTATTTACTTGGGCAGAATTTAAAAAAATTGGACTGGAGCACATAAAAGCAAATAATGATTTAATATATCCAGATTTAACTTGCAACTTTAAAATAACTTTACGAGCGACAAGTTCTAAAATAATTTATAAATGTTGTGCTTGGTTTATTAAAAACCATCATTTAGAAGGGTAACAAATAGCCAGAGAAGTGCACTTTAGGAATAATATTTTCACAAAGATCGATACAACACGAAATATTTATTAACATTTTGTGTCAATTCTTTTCATTCGAATATCACAATGTAACACAGACGGCGATAAAGCTTCGTAATTTAATTATACGAGTAGACATACATTTGCTATTGTTTTAGTAGCTATTTCGCATTATAATTTGCAATAAAAACAGTTTCTGTTTTCCTTTGACTTCACTATAATGTTAAAAGACTTAGTAAGTAACTACATACTTGTTACTGTATAGTAACAAGTATATTATTAATCTGTTGTCCCAGACCTAGAAAAGAATCGATCTATCCACTTTTAAATAAACGTACCTACTTATAAACAAACAAACGACGTTAACATTTCGACCAGGTGTCACCGATAAGGTCACAAGCTGACTGCATCTTAGACTAAACGTGGTTTTTATGAAGAAATAATAGTGGCAAAATAAATAAGAACTCCTATATCAATAAAATGTATATTAATTTCATATACATTACCTAATATTACAAAAGCACATATGCTATATAGATAAAAACATAAGGTACGTCTATTATACTTATCTAGCTACTGCTACTGCCGCTAAGTACTAGTTATGGTTCGTACCATACTCCGATTTTTATTAATGATGATAAAAATTAATAATGTTAATACATCTCTTAATCAATAAAAAATGAAATTAAAAAAACAGATGTTATCCAGAGTTTCAATAGCGTGAAACGCAACATTATCTAATGCAACTGAAAAATATTTTTACAATTCTTACTGACACTTTCAGAGATTCAAACAAAAACAAGAAAGTTTACGGTTTTATTTATTATGATAAAAATAATACTATTTACAGCTAAAATTAGAGATTCCAACAATTTCCAAAACTGATTGATTGTCTTTAAAGAAATGTTATAAGTATGACTGTAGGCTTGAAGATGTCATTTCGCTACCCTGATGTTGAAGTTTCATTGAAATATCTATAAAATTATTTTTAAAGGTAGATACTATAGAATACGTCTCGCAATAATTTCCTATAAAAGGAAATGGTAATCGGCTTAAGTAATTATAATTTTCCTGTTGGTGTCGCGTTTAGAAACATAACTTGTAACTTTACTGCCCGCATGAATGTCGGTAATTGCGAAAACAACATATCACTTTGGAAATATCGTAAATTTAGCTAGTGATAGCCGACCAGACTGAGAATGTATTTAAAGTAATTTCAGACCAAAAAAATCAGTTAAACTTAGTGTCCAACCGAAAAAGAAAAAGGTTTTCGGCTGAAACCGAAATTGCGATCGTATACTAAAATCTATTGTATTTTCAGCCACTTACGTGCTTATACTTATAAACCACTGTAATAGGATAGACACACAAGACATTAATTCTAAAGAGGAGAAAATGTACCAAGTATTAGAAATTCAAAATTCACCTGTCCAAATTAACTAAATAAACCTCACGCGATAGGCGGGAAAAGACGAGGCGGCTGACTAGGTAATTGGAACGAACTGTACGCCTTTTCTCATAGTTAAAGTAAATCAACTTAAGATCACATGTAGTAAGTTTTTTGTAGGCAGAACTTTGTGAAAGAGGGATCATATCGCTTTTTACGGTTGTCCGTCTGTATGCCTGTCAAGACCCTTTATCTAGGGAACGCGTGGAGGTATCGAGTTATAATTAAAACAAAATACTCAAGTCTACAGCCTCTTTAAGCTGTAAAAAAATCAAACGTGAAAAACAGATGTGGCCGTTTATACCGCAAAAAACGTGTATTTCGACACTCTCAAAGGAATCAAAATTTTGAAACTTCTTTCCAAATTACATAGTTCTAGGTCATTACCTAGAACTATGTAATTTGGAAAGAAGTGCCGTCTCATACTATAGAGAAAAATCTAAAACGATACATTTATAATTAAATTATAATAGTACAGGGTCTTTATGCAAGGAACGGTGGTCCAAATTTCGAATTGAGTTAACCGTGTTATGTGGGCTATCGTATGAAAGGGCTTCATTGACACAAGCTTAAACAGATTGTTATTTATTTTTATGATGTATAGTTTTCGATTACAAATTTGTACGGAACTCTCAGTGCGCGAGTCCGACTCGCACTTGTCCGAATTTTTTTTTTAAGATAACTCCCGCACTATGAGTATTTATCAAGCGTCGCGAGGGGCTTTACAAACACACATGAAACGGACACAAATAACACCCAGACTCAGGACAACAATTCGTGGATGACACAAAGTGGTGTCCCTTTAGGGGATCGAACCCAGAACACTCAGCGCAGAAGGAAGCAGCGTGGCGATCGCTTAATCCACTACACTATCCGTGCTTTCCGTTTCCTCTACGATTGATTTTTGAATTATTGAACATTTGGTTTCATTTTATTAACCAGTTTTATAAATTAGTGTCTGTTAATAAAAACTTTTGTATCGTGACTGCTGCAAAGTAATTAATTCCACATTACTTTGCAGCAGTCACGATACAAAAGTTTTGACTTTGTGTAGGCGTTTTTAAATAATACGTAATTTTATAGAGTTTCAAATTTCACATATCTCTGTACTTATTAATATATAGAAATTATAGAACATATAAATTGCCAGGTTGGTGTAACAGTGACAGCTCCCTCTCGTCGGCCGGTCACTGCACGAGTTCTGGACGTGGCTGAGCGACCAGGTGTCTACCGCATCGAGTTTACGCCTGAGGAAGTCGGCACACACTTGATCGATGTAAGAACAATACCGTATTAAACTATGTTAGATAAAGAGGAAGATCAGATGAAGTGTAATGTTATATATTCATTAATATGGTGATCTTTCTATTTAGGCATTTTAGGTCTTACACTTACGTAATTAAACTACTAACTTACTTAGAAATATTATTTTGAAAAAAGGGTTGATTTGGTTAATGTTTATTAGTGGAAAAAAATCCCGGTAAATATATATTTCTATATTCTTCTAAGTAACTAACACTTACACGTTTGATGTTATGAAAACTTTAGAAAAAAGATCATAACATGAAAAACAGTCCATAAGTCAAGTTTTAATATGCAATAAAGGTGGAATATTATAATTGTTTTAAAGTGTGTATAATTGTGTGTCTTAGCGAAGCAGAGCCGGGTTAGTTCAGAGTTACTTACTATAACCTTGGATGATAGCTGACTAAAAGTTCAAACGTTAAATTTACTATGATAATTTATTTAAATATTTTTTTACAAACTTCTATAAATTTGTAATTATGTACAACAATTTTTCCTAATTAAGTACATTCAGTGCAAATGCCTACCAAGGAACTCTGACCTTAACCTCTAAAGGTCACGAATAGCGTAAGCTTGTCCCAAATTCCTTGTTATATTAAATGTTGTGCCCACAACATTTAATATAAAGGAGAAGTATCTACTACTTAAAGAATCTTAAAGAATCGGTAGATACACTTTACTTAGTCTGTTTCTACTGTTGATTTTCGTTATTATTCGACCTTTGATTTGTCTCTCTCTCTTGACTTTAGAAAAACTACCGATAGTGAAAACATAGTGGACTCAACACAACGTAGTAACATACGGCCTTCCGCCATGGTGAATAATTTTTGTACACATAACATGAAAAAAATTACACAGAACGAAAAGAGATTTGTTTCGATAGACCGATCTCTGATGTTAAAATACATTTTCAATAAAAGTCGCTGAAAATATAACAGAACAGTTAAAACCTGACTGCTGAATCTATTAGTATTTAACATGTACCTAACACATGATGCACTCTTTGTAACGAACAATAACATGTCGTGATTCTACATAACTATATAAGCTAACACGAAAACAAAACATTACTAAGAACCTAATACACTATTCCACTTCAAGTCTTAAGACTACCAATCTTTGTTTAATATTGCCGCAGGTATCAATAGGTGAGGATAAGCTGGCTGCTGGCCCACTGGTTGCCAAAGTATACGATGCTAGCCTCATCAAAGTCACAGATGTTGGAAACGCGGTTGTGGAACAGAAATGCCAGTTCAAAGGTATGTAATAATTATAGCTTTTGTTTAAAACAATTTTTTTTTTCCAAATACCGATACCTAATTAATTTTGGTACTTAATTCGACAAATTGGATAAATTTCTTTAACTGCTTATAAGTTCTTTTATTATTTCCAAGATTACAAGAGTCTACTTAGATTTTAAAGGTGGTAAGTGTCCTATCTCATGTTAACATAAAGATATCAGGATATAATATTATTGAGAAATTATGGACCTTAAAAATATTAAACAGAAAAAAATAAGTACCTTATATAAGAGGGCATAATACTTATAAGTTAAATATGATTTTCAGTTGATGCTAGCGCGGCAGGTGAGGGGCAGTTGGAAATATCAATAAACGAAGGCGAGGTCCCAAATAACGTGCAGGTAAGCCTACAACATTAGTTCATAACTTTAAATGAATAATTGCCTTAACAAGTTTTAATTATGTTTGCTAATGTTGGTGTTTTGGTGTCAAGTTAAAATTAATTATTAAGTAGAAAATTACATAAAGTTTCTGTAAATTGTCGAGGATGTTTTAACGGGGGGTAACTGCCCAAAAGGAGTTTCCACATGCACAAAAAAAAGGAGGAATTTCGAACAAACCCAGGGGTGTAAGGTTATACTCGTATGACTGCAAAGATAAAGAAAACTTGAAACAAACCCTATACGAACCCGTCTGGCCAACGTGGTATAATAGGCCAAAACCTCATTTCTAAGAGAGGCCTATGTCCAGCAATGAAGTAGGAAAGGCTGTTGATGATTCATAAAGTCTAGAAATTATCGTCTTTTGGCTTATCTATGTACTGTATTAAGCAACTATACGCTTAGTACCTAATCCCATACCACAGTAGCCTATGAACCTACGTCCACCAGAATAGTGTACTAACGCTTGAAGATTTACCTATCTACCCAAAGTGACATTGGATGATAATAGTAAGCACCCAAAATGTTTTATTGGTTGTTTTATTGTTATTTCTTTCACGTCACGGTCACGGGCACGGTTATAGTTAGTTCAGAAACTAAATCGTAGGGTATAAAAATATTCAAGTGCGAGGACAGAACACATATCAGGTTGATAAGAGGTCACGGTGTTAAGCAATTCTTTCGTAGCATTTCAACAAGAGAGTGAGATCAACAGAGGCCCAACCTCCATTAAGCATCCCGTCATCTAATTTCTTCTGGGGTAGGTCACTGAAAGGCTGACAACGCACTTGTGAGTCTTAATTTGCAGGTGTCCATGGGTGGCATTCATTAGTGACTAACCATCAGGTGAACTGTCTAGTCGTTTGCCCCCATATACGAAAGAAAATAACCTTTTTTTTTTTTAACGTGTGGAAATCCCCTCGGACCGTCACCCCACCGGGGTTTGCGGCGGGGTGGTGTGTCGGACTCGGACCGACTAAAACCACACGGTGTGCCACTCTGCGCCTGTAACAGGAGGGATCCGGGAACAGCTGTTATTAAGACATCCGGACCCCTCCTAGCGCCAGCCCGCTCCTGGTGCGGGCTCCGTCTCAAAATTTTCCTCTCTTTAGGCGACGTCCGGCACACGCGGACGCCGCCCCCTCGCGGCTGGCCAAACTAATGCGGGTGGAGGGGAAACCCACCCCGTCCACCCACGGCCACACTCAGGGCGGCATGAGGCGGTGATAGGCGTGCCTCCGCCGCCCGGTTCGCCGGCGGCGGATCGGGTCCGAGTGGAGGTCGTCCTCCCGGGCCTTCTCCGACGCCTCCTTCTGCGAGATTACTTCCTCGCAGAAGGTTGCGACCGCGGTAAAACAACTGTCGCTACCGGCCATGGAGCGTACTACGGCCGGTAGCGAGAGATCCACTCCGATGACTGCAGTGAGGGCCCGGCGCTGCGTCGCCCATGCGGGGCAGACCGCCAGCGTGTGCTGGGCCAAGTCCTCACTGCAGTCGCAGTGGTGGCAGGCGGGACTCAGTTCCCTCCTAGCGACCGAGTGCAGGTACTTCCCGAAGCAACCGTGCCGGGAAAGCACCTGCGTCAGCCGGAAGGTAAGGGTCCCGTGCTGCCGCCCTGCCCACTCGGCGATGACCGGCTGGAGAGCCTCCACGGCGGCGAAGCCAGCGCGTGGAGTCTCCAGCCGGAACGACCAACGAGCCATCGTGGCTCGGCGAGCGGCTTCGCGCCACTCGCGCACGTCTTCGGGCGGAGGGCGAAATCCGCTCTCCGCCCGGGAGTCAGCCACTCGCCGATAAACTTCGGCGAGCACTTCCGCCTCCAAATCCCACGGGCGAGTTCCGGCCAACGCGCACGCCACCTCCGTCGACACGGTGCGGTAACCGCGTATGGCTCTGACCGCCATTACCCTCTGAGGGCGCCAGAGGCGTGCCCTATTCTGGGCGGTCAGAGCCGCCGCCCACACCGGTGCGCCGTATAGTGCCATTGACCGGACAACCCCCGTGTACAGCCGTCTTGTCGCGACGCTGGGTCCACCCAAATTGGGCAAAAGTCGCCCTAGGGCAGACGCAGCGCCGACCAGCTTTGGAGCAAGCTGTCGGAAGTGCTCGTCGAAGAGCCACCTCCCGTCGAGGATCAGGCCCAGATATTTCATCTGCGCCCGAACCGGTACGAGGACCGAGTTGACCACGATTGAGGCGCCAGGGGGTGGACCACGACGGGGCCCATGAAATAACAGGGCCTCCGTCTTATCTAGGGCCACCCGTAAGCCCAGCCCCTCAATGCGCCCGACCACCAGGGAGACTCCCCTTGTGGCCAGGCGCGCCGCCTCTTGGAAGTTCGCCCCCCGGGCTGTCACCAGGGTATCGTCTGCGTAACAAATTACACCCAGCCCGGGAGGGGGGAAATCGGCTCGAAGGGCCCAGTCGTACCCTATGTTCCACAAGAGGGGTCCAAGAACAGACCCCTGTGGAACACCGCACGACATGGGCCGACACCTCAAATTACCCTCTCGGTCCTCGTACACGACGGTACGCTCCTCTAAATAGTCTGCCACTAGCCGCCTCAGGTACTTTGGCACCCCATGATAGTGGAGTGCTTCCCTGATGCAGCTGAATGGCAGACTATTGAATGCGTTGGCGATGTCTAATGACACCGCCAACAGCACGCCGCCACAGCTCACGGCCTCTTCGGTCACGGCCCTCAGGCGCAACACAGCGTCGACTGTCGAACGCCCCGCCCGAAAACCAAATTGGTCTCTCAAACAATTTACCCGCCTCGTCCAGCAGCACGATGGGCCTATAGGCCGCGACCGAATCGGCAGGCCGTCCCGGCTTCCTTAATATGACCAGCTTCCCGCTCTTCCAGCACTCAGGGAAACGTCCCGACGCCAAGCTAGCGTCGAACACCTCCCCGAGGCGGTCTGCCATGTGGTTGAGGGCTAGGGCCAGCACTCGGGCCGGTACCCCGTCTGGCCCAGGGGCGGTGTTCTTGGAACGGATCCGTAGAACAGCCGTCCCTACCTCCGAATCCCGGACGGGCGGAACATTATCCTCCCCGTGCTCCCCGTCGTCTCCGGCCAAGGAGTCCATCGCCGGGGAGTGTGTTCCGCTCGTTGCGGGAAAAGGCCCTCAACCACTTCTCGCAGGAAGCTGGGCTGGAGAGTCTCCGTAAGGGGGGGGGGCCCGACGCGCGGAGCTTTTGTCGCACCGCGCGGTAAGGGCGACCCCAGGGGTCACGATTAAGACCCTCCAGCATCTCCTCTCTTTTTTCTTCCTTGGCGCGGCTAATGGCCAGCTTCAGAGTTTTCCGCGCCTGTCGGTACTCCTCATGAAGCCGGTCCTCCTCACCGTCTCCACGGTGACGCCGCCGACTGCGCGTGTAGGACCTCCGGGCACGTGTACAGGCCGCACGGAGGTCCGCCAGCTCCTGGGACCACCAGTAGACCTCCTTCCTTGGAGGAAAGAAAATTACCTACCCCAAGGTTCGCTACAACTTTTTAAGTTTACTTAGTTAAATTTGGTTGGCGGGTTTAAATGCGAAAAAGAATGGGTAGGGACCATGTGGTTTGTTTCGTCGTTTAAAATTAAATAAAGGTAAATAATATGTCTACTTGATCTTTAGTCGTCTCTTCGCAACTTTACTATTGAATTTATTACAATAAATAATATAAAATTTTAATTGTCCTATTAGGTCGTTGGAGGTGGAAGATGTCTTGTATTTTGGCGTCCTGAAGTAGCAACGCCTCACCGAGTAGATATTAAGTTCAACGGAGAACCAGTGCCATCGTCTCCTTTTATATTTCACGTAGCGCCTGCACAAAGAGTTACCATTGACACGTCACAAGTTGGTTAGTAGTTCATTTATTGATGTACTATAGTCCCTACTTTATGCTAGTATTATAATATAACAAAAATATTCCAGACATTTAACACACAATGCCATCTAGTTCCAAACTAAGCAGAGCTTGTACTATGAAAACTAGGTTGACTGATAGAATACTTATATACTTTTTGTAAATACATACATATTATTATACATAGAAAACAAACAAACTTCGAAACAGATATTTGCAGATTATAAACAAACATTTGGTCCGACTCGGAAATCAAACCCGTCGATTCAAATTCAAATCGAATTTACAGTACACTGACTAGTTATAGCCCATCTAATCTTAGAGGTACCGTTTGACGTTTCATACTTTTCGAGACGAAACAAATTTGTATAGGCGTAACTCACACAATTTCAATATTTTTTTGCGTAAAACTATGGAATTATGTAGCTATTTTTATTTTGTCGCAAGATATACAATTCTTAATGACAAAATTAAAATCTTTGAAACAAAGCAAAATAACCAATTTATACACAATAAATATTTTATTTATTTTCAAACTCCATTTAAAAGTCACGTAGTCAGGTGCTGTGGTTTTTCATGTATAAATCGTAATTATTCAATCGTTTAAGTGTACTGAAAATTTTAGTTACTTTAATAATACATTTGACATCCAATTCGCAATTAAAACTAAAAATGAAAATTAAAATAAATCTTTGTTGCCAAAAATTGCTTGTGCCCACGTCTGTGTATATTGAGATTTAGTAGTAAAACCTATGATGTGCCATTACACGGGCTTTTATAGTAATTTACATAAATCTGTCATACTGCAATCGATTATTACACACTAAGGCCCGTATTTTAAAAGACGTCTCAAGTGTCGGTTGAACTCTGATTGCCTGAAACTAGTTTTAAGTGCAGATCAAATCTTAAGTATCGATCTTATTATAGAACGCGTTTTAAGTTTTACTCAGTTGAAACTAGTTTCAGGTATTGATTTGAACTTACAGTCTGTTCTCAATTACGTTTCCGCGTGATTGACACTATTATTCCACATTACGCAGCTAATTATTTAAAAAATAATTTTCTTTTACAAAAATAATTTCTGTGAATTTGTATATAATATACTATTGCCTAGTGTAGCAATGTTAACATATTAACAAGGTTGTTGTTCGTTCAAAATTAAGTATAATAAATATTAAAATAAAAATGACTAGCTGTATGAATAGGCTATAACGGAACGTTCAAGTTATTTATCAACACTTGTCATGTTGAAATGTCAAACGATGTTTTTATTTGATATTTCTAAAATTTAAATTACTATACTTTTAACATAAACCAAAAGGTTGTGGTAATTTAAACTGGTATTGTGTGTGTAAAATGTGAATTTTGGTGAATTTCATATCAATTAAGGTAAATGAAAGTGAAATTGATGATAGTATGCCAAGTAATTCTTTCGTAAATAAAGTAAAGTAAATCTTTCGTAATTATTCAAAAAGAAATCATCGTAAAACACATTCATTTCCCCTAAATGCCCTAGAAATCACCGCTTGAGACTAGTTTCAGCTTGTCTCACGTAAACAAAGATCACAGCTGTCAAAATCTATACCTGAGTAATGATTTCGACATAAACATCGTTCTAAAATAAGCTATCACTCACTTGAGTATGGATCGGTGAATCTCGTTTTAAGTGACGTTCAATAATAAAATCTCTACTTAAAATTAGTTTTAAGACTAGATTCACGACTGAGACACCTTTTAAAATACGGGCCTAAGAAATGATTTCGATATCTCTTAAGAATCAAATATTTTAATAATAGATTTCTTTGACCACATCGCTATACTTCAATCTATCAGAACTGTCAAACGGTACCTCTTAGATTAGATGGACTACGAGTATGGGTGCATACAATTCTTTAATAATTACTTAAGATGGTGGCACTAATCTGAAAACTGACTCTTCTTAATTAAGTACTTTTTGATCACACGAAGTATAAAACTGCTAATTTATATTTCATGATACCTAAGTTTGAACTGGTGTTATTCTAGAGGCTAATTGTATTAGTTTACAAACTAAAATCTAAACAAAATACATCTGGCAATTTAATAATCTGTGCGCTGTGGTGCACTTACTTGTCAAAAATGTCATACGTCATTCGTGCTCATCAGGGTTGCCAAGCGTACGAAGTTCCTCGTCCACATACGAGATTTGGGGTCTGTTGTACGTGATACGAGAACACGATCAGGCTCGTACAATTATGTACGAGGATTTCTTATAGAAAATTTTATAGCATATCTTTTTATTATAAAATACACTTTGGCTACAACTCAAGGTTCAAAATCGATTGAGGAAATTTGACAGATTGTAGTAACCTCGCAACTCGTTAATTTAATTTAAAAAAAAATACAAATGTAAACACCCTCTCGTTTAATTTGAAAATTTACAAGTTTAGTTCCAATAATGTTAACATTTTGTTCAATTGAATTCTGCAAATACCTTCTTTTACACCCATTTAATGTGACTTATTTTTGGTTTTAAAACATTTTAAATGCTTCATTAATGTATGAGGTTTAAAAGCCAAAATACGAGATTTTAAATTGCTTATGTACGATAATAAAATTCTAAGGTAGGCAACCTAGTGTAATTGGCGCGAAGTTTTTTACGATTTAATAATCTCGGAATATAACTATCACCGCTTTTTAATGACTTTTATAACTTTACAATATTTTTAATTGCTACCCGAAGAATAGAACAATTCTATTTAATTATAAATAGATAAATTTTATTTTGCGCCAACTTTCAGCTATGTTGTGTCATTTAATTTTAATGTATTTTTTTATTTTATGTTTTAGAACTTATCCCAGTCGGAGAAGTAGCATCATGTTCTGTTCGGGTGGAAGGTTCGGCCGGAGGAGAGTTAACTGTAACTGTGCGTGGACCTAGGGGAGAAGTTCCTGTTCGTCTGACAGGAGATGCTGTTACCGGTTTAGTCGCCAGCTTTACACCAAAGAATGTCGGACCACATACACTTACTGCACAGTATAACAACCAAATAGTGCCAGTATGTATAAAATAATTTAAGTCACTTAAATTATTAAAATCTACTACATTTTTTTAAATTATTAATCTTAAATTTTTTTAATAGATAGTTACTCAATTTCTTAATACTAGAAGTATATTGTGTACAGTACTGATTTGTTAAGGAATTTTAGTCTATATTCTTATTGCCTATTGTAATATTTCAGGGCACACCGTTCATATGCAAAGCTTATGACAGCAAGTTAGTCAGCGTCAGTGGAGGTGCTTCAGCCAGGGTTGGAGTTCCAGTGCAGTTAGCTGTTGATGCTGCACTGGCTGGTGAAGGCAATCTAGAAATCACTGTTGCTGCAAGAGGTCTTAATATTCCCACACAAGTTCACCCCCAGGTATGTTACAATACTAAATCTTTTTCAGGTAGTAAGCAGAATTATAATTTTCAAGACAGTTAGTCTTGAAATTTATAAGAATCTAGAGACAGGCACAATAACATGATTTGTGTATTATTTATTGACTGATTGACATGCATTGCTATAATAGGCATTGCTCATTCAAATATCAGAAGTTTCAGACCTGATTCACACTCAATTAATAGAATTATGGGGGTGAATGCTCTATATTTGTGTATGTGCTCTAGAGCCTATAATAAATACTCAATATTTCATAGCATATTTTATGTAAAATGTTTATTAGTACTTCTGGAGTATAATGGGCAGTATAGTTTATTTTATAAGTTTTGGTACCAAGTATTGTAGGTTATTGTAGTATTACTTGTTGGATACAGTTCATCAAAATGAATATAGTGTCAGAGTACTATCATCCATTTGGTAATAATATGAAAATATCATTATAAATTCAGGCATTTTTAGACAACAATATTTTAGACAAGTAGGTAACAAACATCTGTCAAAAAATATCTATCTCATAAAAAAAATAGATCACTAGAAATATTAGAACTATTATAACACTTACAAGAAACCATGTAAGATAATAATAGTTATATTTTTTCTTTTCAGGGAAATGCTCGGTTTATGGTATCTTTTAATCCAACAGAAGCGACTGACCATGTAGTCAATGTCTCATTTAATAAAGTAAGTACTAATCTTTAAGAAATTAAGAAACTTTTCCAGCCGAGTGCAAATATTAGTATGAATATGACTATTTGCATTGATCTAGTTGATACTATGTATTAACTATATTTAACCATTTTCCAAACCCATTAACTACAATTGGTTTAGGAAAATGGTTAAACATAGTTCTCTAACTAATCCTATTGGATCCAAACTAAGCTGAGTTACTAAGCTGTTCTTAGTTTGGATCCAATAGGATATATGTATTTTAAAATACAACATTTTTTCTATATTACAGCAAGTCACTATTTAAAAATAATTTTAGGCGACACTTCTGTAGTTTACAATAAAAAATAATAACGTAAATCCTGTGTTACGTTTTTTTTTGGCATTTTTTAGGCTTATTGTATCTCGGACCTTATGCGATGAGTCACACATTGGCATTAAATAAAACCACATTTTATATCATACTTTACTAATAAAACCTTAAACCAACCTATTACTTCCTTTGGTAGGGTATGGACCACTCCACATCTCCCTTAAACTTCCTAATAAATTCTTCACTCTCCAATTCTCTCTCTGATAGCGTTAGGCTAGCACTTCTGCTTCAATCATATCAGTATTTCGGCCACTGCGCAAGCTCTCTCGAAACAGCAGTAACGAGTCGATGCTGAATCCAATCAAGCTTGTTAAGGTCATGTTCAGATGAAAGCGCATTTTAGTGACGCTCGTCAACTACAGTAGTAGTGGGTACATGAAGTTTGCTCAAGAAGTTCAAAAACTAATACGCGTATTGATCTGACACGTGCATTACGCCGTTATCTGAACATAGTCTCCATTAAAAGCGAACATAAACGAAGGCCCTCAGTTAAATGCCATGTTCTACAAGAGTAGTATAACAACAAACCCCAGTGTGAGCAGACTATGATCCGATATCTCACATTGCGATCTTCCTCCTAGTACCTATTTGACGAATATGTGTTCTTACAAATATTAAAATATACCGACGCTGATGATGTAAACAAGTAAAACTTTATAACTGCATTATTTTGCCGTAATTCCTAACAGCCATCACTTGATCGCTATAAGGTAAATACTATAATCAAGGAGTAGGTAGGTACTGATAATAAAATGTTAAGAGTACCTACCTAACTTCAAAGTAGACCGAAATGTTTTTCATTTTTACAGATGCGAGTACCTGGCTGTCCGTTAATCATCCAGGTGTCTGAAGGTGGCGGTGGAGTTGCCCGTGTCACCGTACCAGGCCCTGCACCATTACATCAACCAGCCACGCTCACATTACACCACTCTACTGCCACTCTTGACCAGATAGAAGTTAATGTTGAGGGTGAGAATCTAAGGAGATAGTGCAGTACTACTTTTAAGAAATAGTCCTCTTTTCTACTTTAATTGAAAAGACGTATCGTTACTGTTATTTGCTTCAACCAATGAAGAATCTCTTAGACATTAAAAACTTCCACAAGCCACAAAATGACTGATTGCAAATTAAAAGAGATGCCAGCAGTGCTACTTAGCCACGCTCGTTCACATCTCGCGCCTTTAAATTATAACCTAACTTATTAACTAATATTTATACCGTATTTTTGCTTTAAAATACTGTTTCTCCTGGTATAATTCATGAATAGCTCTTTATTTTATAATTAAAAATTTCACTAGATTAAAACATAACAAGCCTAAATTTTTTTCTTAAGAAATGTCTGAGTAAACCACTAACTATCTAAAATAATAAAAATATACGTCCTTCACCCATGCTCATAGAAAATTAATTATACTATTTTTCGTAATAATTCACGTCTAACACTAGATTTTATTAGGTACCAGGTACTTGGTTCTTATAGTATTGGTGAAAATAGTGTTTTGTAATAAATGTTTTTTAATTTATAACTCCTAGAACACCCATCCAGCTACATGCTTTTTAAGCTAAGAAATGTATCATAATTTTTTGGTTCTCTTTTCAGGGTGGTATAAATGAGAATAAAATTTTTGGCTTACTGAAAAAAGTAAAGACATAGAATCAGGGAATTTTTGGGTAGGATTTTATTGAAAGGAGTTATATGAGATAAAAGTGTATGCCGAAGTACATTACATAAATAATATGACAATCATAATAATAATAATAATCATGCAAGCTTTGCTGCACTAACATATGTCATCTAATAAAGCTTAGATATTAAATAATAAAACCACTAACCATTTTGTAAATTAATTATATATAAAGATTTATTATTAACCAGTTATTTTAGTTCATTTTATATTAGAAAAAACTTTCTCAAATAAATAAGATTTCAGTTGCAGATACTGAAATAACCCGACGATGTAACATTCATATACGTTAAGCTCATCCGCTTCGCCCTAACTCTTAACATCCTCGACATGACGTACGTGGGGGTAGGGAGTGTTAGGGCGGGGCGGAGAGTCACCAGAAGTGGTCGGACGCAGGGCCCAACGGCGCGTCGGTGCCCGCGGCTGTGGCGGCGGCCGGCCCCGGGGTGTTCCGGGCCGAGTTTGTACCGCGAGCTGTTGGAGAACACCGGCTCAACGTGCTCGTCGATTCTGTGCCTATACCCGCCAGTCCTTTCCATTTAAAAGTGAGTATCAAAACATACATTTCATTTTATTACGTTTCCGTTCCTTTGTCTTATAAAAAGGAAAATACAAAACTTATAGTTCTTGTTTGATAACATTAATATTAGATACGATTTCCTTCATTTTAAAATACTGTCTTGGTATTAATTGCTCTCCTAGTGGATTGTTCAACTATCTACACGGAAACTATGTCTCCACCCTACAAATGTTTAAATAATATATGTAGGTACTAAATGACTGGCCTGTTGGTCTAGTGGTTAATGAACCTGTGTGCTACGCCAGAGGTCGTGGGTTCAATTCCCATCCAGGACAAATAATTGTGTGATGAGCATGGTCATTTGTTCTGTGTCTGGTTTATCTATAAATATGTATGTATTTAGAAATATATAAGTATGTATGTTTATTAGTAGTCTGGTTACCACAGGGTCTGCCTAGTTGGGATCAGACGGCCGTGTGTAAGATGTGTGAAAATATTATTATTATTATATATGTTATCCTAGGGCTATGTGAAGTCCGAAGAGAGGGGGAGGACACCATAACCCTCGAGTCAGGTCACCTAATGTACTTCCGCGAGGGAGACCAACAATCCCAAGGTGGGGTTGGGTTTCTGGTAAATAAGTCCCTATCTGACAACGTTGTGGAAATTTCCAGTATGTCGAACAGGGTAGCGTACCTCATTATCAAGCTCACCGAGAGGTATAGCTTCAAGGTTGTGCAAGTGTACGCACCGACCTCGGCACATTCGGACGACGAGGTGGAGGATATGTACGATGACATATCGAGGGCCCTCCACTAACGTTGTTATGGGTGACTTCAACGGTAATAGGATCAGTAGTAGGATCCCATGGATTTGGAAGCAGGAATCATAGGGGGCAAATGCTGGTCAACTTCCTCGAACGGGAGGGGCTGTTTTTGATGAATTCTTTCTTCAAGAAACAGCCCCAAAGGAAGTGGACGTGGCAAAGCCATGACGCTATGACTAGAAATGAGATCGATTTCATCATGACGGATAGAAAGCACATATTCAGAGACGTCTCAGTGATCAATAGGTTTAATACCGGTAGTGATCACCGACTTGTCCGGGGCTCTCTGAATATCAACTTTAAGGCGGAACGTGTCTGTTTGATGAAATCCAGGCTCCGACCAACTCGGCTCCAAGCCATGACAGGATCTTAAACGTTCCAGTCGAAACTGGAAAACCGATTCGCTGCCGTGGAAACCACAATCGACGTGAACCAGAACCTCAAAAATGTGGTTCAGATCCTCAGGGAAGAAGGTATGAGATTTTGTGAAATGCAGCGTAAGGGCAGGAAGTCGAGGCTTTCAGAAAGGACCCTAGGGCTGATGAAGAAACGACGTGAAAACCCACCTGTCACTTTGTCGGCAAAGCGGACTCTAATCCGAGAGATCAGTAAACTCGTACGACACGACCTCCGGTGCTCCAATACTCTTTCAATTGAAAGAGCGATCGAGCAAAATCGGGGGTCAAAAGTGTTCGTACAATCTCTTGGAAGAAGCCACCTGACAAAGTTGACTACAGAAAGTGGAGAAGTCGTTGCTTCGAAGCCGGCAGTCCTTTTGGAAGTGGAAAGCTTCTATGGCCGGTTATACGCTTCGCATGCAGCTCGACCTGATCCCGAAAATGAGGACTCTAGAGCCACATTAACACATCACTACACCGAAGACCTGCCAGAAGTTAGCATTGACGAAATCGAGATGGCTCTTGGACAGCTGAAAAATGGAAAAGCCCCTGGAGAGGATGGCGTTACAACAGAGCTGCTGAAGGCCGGGGGTAAACCCGTACTAAGGGAGCTCCAAAAGCTCTTCAACGCTGTCCTGTTTGAAGGGAGAACTCCAGAAGCGTGGAGTAGGAGTGTGGTCGTCTTGTTCTTCAAAAAGGGTGACAAGACCAGGTTGAAGAACTATCGACCCATATCCCTTCTAAGCCACGTCTACAAGCTGTTTTCGAGAGTCATCACGAACCGTCTTGCGCAAAGACTCGACGAATTCCAACCACCGGAGCAAGCTGGGTTTCGGAGCGGATATGGCACTATAGACCACATCCACACAGTGCGTCAGATTATACAGAAGACCGAAGAATATAATCAGCCCCTGTGTCTAGCATTCGTGGACTATGAGAAAGCCTTTGACTCGATCGAGATCTGGTCTGTTCTGGAGTCCCTGCAGCGTTGCCAAGTAGATTGGCGATACATCCAAGTGATGAGATGTCTCTACGAAGCCGCCACCATGTCCGTCCAAGTACAGAATCAGCAAACAAGGCCCGTACCATTGCATCGAGGAGTGAGACAAGGGGACGTTATTTCCCCGAAATTGTTCACAAATGCAATGGAGGACATGTTCAAGACGCTGCACTGGAAAGGGCGTGGCATCAATATCAATGGCGAATACATCTCTCACTTGCGATTTGCAGATGACATCGTCATCATGGCAGAGACGTTGCAGGACCTACAGCAAATGCTGAATGACTTAGCTGACACTTCTGTACGCATCGGCCTACGGATGAACTTGGATAAAACCAAGGTCATGTTCAACGAACATGTACTACCGGAACCGATTGCGGTACACGGTGCCGTTCTCGAAGTTGTTCAAAAGTATGTGTACCTCGGGCAGACATTGCAGTTAGGTAGAAACAACTTCGAGGACGAGGTGAACAGAAGAATTCGGTTGGGTAGCAAACGTAGTGTAGGACGCCCACAGGCCAGGTGGAGTGACGATTTGCGCAAGATGGCTGGCAGGAGCTGGATGCGAGAAGCCCAAAATCGATCTAAGTGGCGTGCAATGGGAGAGGCCTATGTCCAGAAGTGGACTGCGATAGGCTGATGATGATTATATATGTTAAGCAAAGCGGCCTATGGCTATTATCAATAGTATTTAAATATTTCAGGTATATGACGTCACTGCTATTAGAGTAAAAGATGTCACACACGGAACTGTCGGAAAGCCAGTAACGTTTTTAGGTGAGTTATTTATATGCCACTAGTTAGCCGACATAATTTGATTTCGGAAAGAATTATTACTACTATAGTCCTTTTATGTTTTAGTGGAAACCATGGCAGCTGGTCCAGGTAACTTAGAAGTAACAGTAAACGGTGGACGAGTACCTACAGCTGCAGCCGCACAAGGAGCGCACACTTACGCAATCAGTTTCACACCAAGAGATCCCAGGCCACATACTGTTGAATTGAGATTCAACGGAGACCATGTACCAGGTAATATTTAATTATTTAAAATTGTACGCGTTTTGAGTGCTACTAGTGGTATTCACAGTAGCGTTTCATTAGAGGTAGAAAAGTAATAACCGTATTTCAGCTAGCCATATCTTCTTCGACTTACGTAATGCTAGATGTGGCAAGTATTTGTAAGTACTGAAATGTAATTTTTTTTTCTCCCTAGGCAGTCCATTCGTATGCCATGTGTCCGCACCAGCTAGAGTGATAGGAGCGGGCTCAAGCGAATCTCCTGACAAAGTATCCGTCGGTGAAGCCTACACCTTCAGTGTAGATTCGCCAACCTCTCCTCACGTCGAAGTGCTCGGACCAGCCAGACGACCCGTCTCAGTACAGGTTTCAGCTGAAGAGACAATCGGAGAAAATGAGGCCAGCAAACGATATACCATATCTTTCGTACCTGTCGACGTAGGCGATCACAGTATTGAGGTTAGTTTCGTACATTACCATCATTACCACCGTAATTGCTAGAGAACGCTAACTAACGCTGTCGTAATATTTGATATACTAGCTATAATAAAAATGCCGTAATCCTGTTAATTATGTACATTAAATTCTTAAGTCTCCGCCTAACTTTACTGCACACAAAACTAAATTAAAGCTGTAAAATGTTTGATGTTAAACGTTAAGACTATACGTACGTTACCTGAAAGTACCAATCTAGTTGCTATTATTATTTCATAAAAAACGTAAAAAAATATCCACTTGCTAAATACAACTGAGACCCACTTTCAAATTCCGCGAGTTGGGAGGTTGTTGAAAAATTTAACATAACTACATATTTAATTAAATAGATTTATAGATAGAAATCCCATTATAATATAAATGACAAAAAAATAATTACTAATTTATTTTATTTTCACGTAGTGGGAAACACATATCAGAAAATGTGTCGTAATAGTGCACATTTTTTGTGTCTTTAGTAGGCGGCTAGGCGCGCTAAGAGAATAATTTGGTGTAGATAAGCGATTTAAATTTTGCTACAAATTCGGATTTATATTCTTCTGAATACATAAACGTTAAAATTTCTGTGTGAGGACAGTGTGTTAATTTTACACTTACAGTAAATTATCATACAATATATAAGTACTGTACCCCAAAGTTTTGATCTCCGAACGATGACGTAGTCACGTGACCATAATTCGTTTGGCATATTTTCATTCATTTAAATTAAAAATTATACTTTTATATGAATAAAGGTAAAATATGGAATTAAATAATACTTTATGGGTATTATTTTAAACACATGGCGCATTTAAAATTATTTAGAAAGTTATCTCTCTCGAAATGATAACTCGAGTGGACAATATTGAAATACAGAAGAGGTTCTTTGTATAGCGGTTTTGTGGTATTCAACACATTCATTACATATCAAATCATCAAAGAAAATTATTTTGTCACCCTTTACTTTTAACAATTAGATAGAGTATATATCAAATTCTAAAAGTAATCTGTATAAAAGGAACATTATTATATTAATGTTACAGGTACGCGCAGGGGCTATGGGCGGACATGTTGAAGGCAGTCCATTTCTTGTGAAAGCCTACAGCGCAGCGCGAGTCAACGTCACGGATATTTCACCCGGTGTTGTAGGCAGACCTGTCTCATTCACCATCAATGCTTCGCACGCCGGTAAATACTCTATTTATGTACTTTTTACTTAGTCCCAAATAGCGCACACTTTGAAACTATGATTTAATGTATTTAAATAAGGTACTTTCAGAATTGAAAACATACCATTATAGTCCATCTAATCTAAGAGGTTTGTCAGTTCTGTCAGATCGATGATTAGGGAGTGGGTCAAAGAAATTGATGACTACAATATCCCTTAGGTTTATTATTGATATATCAATGTGTGTAAGTAAATGACAGAATTTTATAAGAGAGATAATTTTTCGGGCTTTTCAGGCCGAACAAGGTGTATATTGCCTACATAGATTTATTTGAAATTATATTAACTTACATATTTTTAAGTATACTCGTGATCAGCGTCATTTATAGACGCCAAAAGACACGTTTTTAATGAAACGTCTTTGAGGGAGTTAATTGCTTGCAACTGTTTTGTACTGTACCAATGTACTGGAAAGTATTTCGAAAAAATTGTTTTAGTTATTTGCCACCTTAAATAGACTAAATATTGAACATAATTCTAGAAGTGTCCATTCATTGATAATTTATTTACCTATTCCCTAGTAGTCCGAAGTTGTTACCAAAAGCGGGATATGGTTTTTACTTTAGTATTTAAAATATTAACGTTACACAAATACATTATACAACTATGTAGTAACAATTCTTCTTTGTAGCCTTTTAATTCATTTACACATTGTATGCTAAGTACGTTTGTTGGCGACTTGATGTTGGTGACTGTACAACATTCGGTTTGCAGCAAACTTCATTGGAGCAGACTTGTATGGCGCGTATTGTAAACACTAAAAGACGTATGAATTGAAAATGGCAGGCTATTTATAACTTCGATTATCTGTACATTGTAACGATTTGTATAAAAGTGAATTTGAAGAGTCACAACACTGTGACTACCTAACCTAACTTAGTGACTTTGAAACAAAGTCTAAAAAAATCTATCTATTGTATTAATTGGTTAGTTTGCTTTGTTTAAAAGATTATATTTAAATTTAGTCATTAAGAATGATATATATTGTGATAAAATGGAAATTGCTCTATAATCCCAGAGTTCATTATAATTGTGTGAGTTAGGCCATTACAAAGTTGTTTCCGCTTGAAAAGTATGAAACGGTACCTCTTAGATAAGATGGACTATAGAAATGGAAGTGATTTTAAATTCCTATTAAGAACACCAGAACAGCTTGAATGTTGTTGATCATCATTACACATCATCGATCCTTATAGAAAAAAAATCGGTATTAAAAGAAAACTTATAAGAGCCGTTAGCCTTAATGCAGTGTTTTATGAGACATTGCTAAACCGTAAACAAATTAACTAGTAATGTTTTTGTTAACAGTGGCATATTTATGTTATTAAATCCTTTTTTCTTTTTACCTCATTTTCTCGTCATCAACTTTTTTAAATCTTTTATTTAAATGTTTAATAATGTGTAATTGCATATATTTAAAGGACTTTAAAAAGCTTAAGTATACTTTTGTATTTTTACGTAGCTTTTGAAAAAACAAAATCGATTCTTTCAGGTGCTGGTAACTTAGAAATAATAGTAGCTGTAAACGGTAGAAATGTACCGAACTATGTGCAGAGTGAAGGGAACGCAAGGTTTAAGGTAAACATTCATTAGTAAATAAAGAAACAAATGCCTTTTTGAGTTTAAAACTTGACTTACAATACGTTTTGATTGAGTTTCAATTTCCTCCACACTTAGAATACACACTAGTTATATAATTCCATATTCCAATTATATATTACATTAATTAATAATACCATACTCAATATTTGTTTGTGTATCACCCATTACTGTGACTACTTTATAAAATAATTATTTTGTCTTTCACATTTTATTTTCTAAAGTTAACCTTATATAATCTTAAACATCGAATACCAATTTCTTACCATTTCAACTATTGTGACATGGCCTTATTCTGCAGGTGAACTTCAAACCCGTTGAGGCAGCTCCACATACATTATCCGTCCGATTTAACGGTCAAGCAGTACCAGGATCACCGTTCACGTGCACAGTAACTGCACCAGCTCCAGCAGGAGATGCACGGGCATCGGGACCCGGCTTGGTATCTGCCCCAAGAGCTGAGCCTGCCGATATACATATCACTGGCTGCCATTGTAAGTATCAAGTAAAAGAACATAACTAACTTATGATTAACTAATGCAACGAAAGAATTGCTTAACACCGGTTTTCAGTAAAGCCGTGGTCGCCTCGGTCGATCACTCCGGTCGAGCCGGCCTATTCGTGCCGAAGCATTGCTCTCCCACGCCAAAATATTGCAATTTTAAAAAGGGTATTATTTAATCTCTTAGTCCATAACATAAACATATGCTGCAAGTATATTGCCATAGAATTTTATTTTAATGCTAACTTTCAAGTTGTACTGCTGTTTATGGTCTTAAATTATTTTAGACAAATTAGAATATGACATCTGCACCGTTTATAATATTACAAGAATTTCGGCTCAATTTATATTATTGATTGCAAATGTATCTCGACTCTCGATTAACGACCTCGTCATTTTTATGACAATGTAAATACATTTTGATATTATCACATTGTGATACATGCAAGTGTAAATATTTATCTACTTTCATAGACGACATTGTTTAGATTCGATCTAAAATGAATGCTTTGTACTTAGTTGTTTGTGCATCGATGTGATTGTCTCTAGAAATGTTTGTTGTTTGAATATGTGATCGATAAGTACCAATAGTTAGTCAGTGTTTTAAAATGACGACGCGGGCTAGACAACAGTTACGGTCGTTTTTGCGGAGTTGTGTAAAATGTCACTGTACGTCAATTTATACAAGCTAGCTTGTAGACTGAAAACAACTAGCAAGTTAATCGTTATGTTAGCGCAAAGTATGTGTTTATTATCCCCAACTTTATACTTAAATATTATTAATACTTTGTGTGTTGTGTGTCAGTGTAAAAAAAAGGTTTTACTTTATTTATGGATTTCTCTAACAGCTGAACAAACAAAATTATTTATGTCTTAATAAATGCCATGTTTTGCTGTACCGTCATTATAATTTATGTCATAAAACATCAAGTTAATAGAGTTAAATTGAACAATTTATGATAAAATTTATTTATTATGGATAAAATAAATAATGATAAATTAAACACTGAACGTTTTAGGACAAGAAGTGTCGGCAAAAGTCTTGGTACACATTTTTCGATCTCGCTCCTAGCCGTGAAACCGTGATAATTAACTTCGTTCCAATATAATTGTTTGCACTAATTCACATCACGTGGTATACTTGGCCAAATGTTTTTCTTATTTAACTAACCATGAATGTAAATATTCATATAAATAAAATGCAATGCAATGCCTCTGTATTCGTTCTATTTCTCAGGGGTATGTATCTCATAGGTTATCGTTACAGGTAAACAATAAAAAAATTCACGGAGTATTTTTTTTCTCGGGTTGCTGTACCAACAAATACTAAATACATATAAAAATTAATAAAAAGTATAGGATGGCTCGCAGACAAGGAAGATTTTGTTTTATGTTAGTCGTCCGTCACTGTGTGGATCACGTAATCGAAATACTCTTGAACCTGTTATATTTATAAATAGTATAGGTATTACAAATAAATAATATAAAATAAACTTAATCATTCAATTGAGTTCCCACACACACCCAAATTTTGTTTTTACTTGTTATTAACAATGGATGCATATTTTAAACTATGATAGGTAGGTACTTGTTTGGATATTTAAAATACAACAAGTAACAATGTAAATCATAATTTATAATATTAATTTTAAGTTGGATAAAGATTAAAATTTTGACTTGTGTTTTTGGACTGTTTAGTTTTCTATTCGTCACTAACTATTGTTAAGTGGACTTTGATTTGTGCTTCTGATACTGTTAGAGATGATGGCCTATACGAACGAGACATATGCTGATATTCTGATTTGTTACGGATACTGCCAACGCGTATATGCACGAACCACCCAACCACCGCTTCCAATGCACTTATTACGTCTTTCATCTAAGTTTTTTCTCTATGAATTCTGTCACTTTCCTAGACTACTGTACCTTATTACCTTGTTACAAATTTATTTATTTTTGCTATTATTAACCATCTACTTAGGCCCAGTTTGTTAAGTTAACTACAATTTTAGTAATTTAAATTACAAAACAATTTATCAACTACACAAAAACTGTAAAAAAACATGAAATAAACTATTAAGAGTAAAGGAAGAAAGTTCCAAAAAAATTGTATTAGGAAAAGTCCAATATCTTGAAAATGGTTAGGTTTGGGATGTGGTATTTTAAAGTGAAATCTATCAGAAATGATGACAACTTCAACCCTTAAGGTATCTAGGTCGACTTACCCAGTAACCCTGCATATATATATATATTATAAAAAGTTTTCTCATTGAGTAATTTAATTGAAATTTTGAATTTACATTTTTTTATTTTTATTTAACATTGAAAAATTCAAAATGATTCTCTGCTTTCGTTTTTATCAAGTTATGCAATACATCAAAACGATAAAAAAACGAAATCAAGAACCTATTAAATGAAAAGTTTAATAATAATGAATTAACATTCCTATTCACGTAGGAACAATACTTAGGTACATCCTGTCCGGTTTATATCTCCATTTATATATACTATCTCTATATCGGGTATAATAAATCCACCCACTTCATTTTTAATGAGTCACTATAAATTACAACAGTTCTCTCGATCAACTTAATATTAAAATACAAATTATGGAAAGGTTTGATAAAATGAGATTTTGTTTCAAAGCTGGTGAACCAGCGGTATACGTTGCTGGACCTGGCGGTACCAACGTCCGCACGCGAGTGTCCCCGACAGGCGAGGGTCGTTACACCGCAACGTACACACCAGAAGCTGTTGGGAGACACACAGTGCAGATCACGTGCGCCGGTCGACATGTGCCAGGATCGCCCTTCACTTGCAACGTATATGACGTTAAACGTGTCAGAGTCACTGGATTGGGCCCTGGAGGTTTGTGTATTATGGCTTTTTCTCGTCTCGACTTGATTTATTTTAATTTAAAAGTTATCATGATTAGGATAAGACAGTCATATCCATTGCTATTATCAGTGACCACAGTACTTTTCTTCTCAAATAATGAAAGTACCTACTTGATCAAATAAATTTATAACTTTAGTTTTTCGATTTCTAAGCACTCTAACACCCATACACTCAATAAGCACCTCTAGTGCTTACTGATTTCCGATTTCTTCAAATGGAGCATTTTGTAAAGGAAGTTAATTCATGGTCCTTTCGGCGAGGAGGCGTAAACATATAGATTGTGTTTCGTATTTTCAGAAATGATTTAATATAAAACTTAATTATCGATTTCTTGTACCTAGTAAAAATGTATTATTTGGAAACAGTCGACTGAGGAATTGAATTAGTAAACGTTCTAAATCATTCAACTCGTTTAAAATATGTTAACAGAACTTGAAGGTACACTCGAGGGACTCAGCTTAGATGACGGGGTTGAAGAGGAGCGCGGAGTGGAAGTAGGCAAACCGGTGACATTCAGTGTGGACGCAGCCGGCGCTGGCGAAGGGACTTTAGAACTTGTTGTATCTACACCTTCTACTACTGTCAAGGCTGAGGTAAATTATATAAGCATATACTAGTATGATAACAATAACTGGCTTATGACATTGGGGATTGTAAGTAATAGCTCCACCAGGTCAGGGCCGCGTACCTATAAATTGAATAGACTTCTACGGGTAAGTCCAAGCCAACATGTAACAACGAGTATGAATATAACGAGTATGCATATATATAGATAACTTTGTAGAGTTAAAACCCTTTGATCAACGATTGCTAAAAAGTTTTAACTAAAAAAAGTTTTTACTATATCCTAAGTAGTTTTGTAAAATTCAAAGTTTTTTTTGTATGTATTACTACATAAGAAAACTCTTTTGTACCTCTTTTTAATGAAGTATAGTGCGCGGAAGCATACTATATTTACAATGCTTATTTATTTAATGTTTGAACACGCTAACCTTTTTCATTCTATAATACCTCTAAACTATTCATCTTACAGCCATATCGTATAGTAAAGCTTAAATTAAATGAAATTTCAACAGGTCGTAGCTGTCGCCCGCGGTCTATACGACGTCACGTTCGTACCAGTTTCACGAGAGCCACACCGTGTATCCGTCACTTTTAATGAGCAACCAGTACCCGGAAGCCCCTTCGTATGTCGAGTCAGCGAGCCACACACATATGTACAAATAGGTAAGTCTGTTTCTGTTTATTCTTTTTCGCTCGTATATTTTGTAAAAACAATCGTAAGCATCATAGTTTATTAACCCGGGACAAAGAAAGTCGTTCCTAAAACTGCCATCTGTGCAATATGTAAATAAATAGTGGGTACTTAGACATAAACTACAACAGTATATGTTATAATGATCTGTACTGTAACTGCCAGCTAGTCTGCGAATATACATCCTATAGTAAAGTTGTCGTTTTATTGCGAGGTCCGGCATCCAGACGGCTCCCGACATTCTTCACCATTTAACTTCTCAAATTGCGTAGTTTAACATTGGCCTTCCTTATAGATTACACACAAAAACAGCCTAAGACCACCTACATCTAACGGCTCGCTGCCATTCCTATCTTGTTCAGGACATCCGTTTGTAGTAGTAGTAGGAGAAATACTCTTTGCAATCTTTTTTTGTGTCACCTGATTAAAAGTGACTACCGCCGCCCATGACACCAGGAGTCACAAGCGTGTTGCCGGCCTTTGAGGAAGGAGTATGCCACTTTTCTTGAAGGTTTGAAGGTCGTATCGGTCTGGAAATACCGCAGACCGTCTGCAAGCAATCAAGCAATCTGATGAACAAGTTATCGTCTGCGGCAGACGATAATTTGTTCATCAGATTGCTTTTGCGAGGCATAAAGTGTCTTGAAAAGCGCTCAGTGGTGGAGCGCCAGTTATCCAAGTGACCCCGAAACTGGACTTTGCTCGATAGATCGATGCCTAAGATTGCTATATAGGCTGAGGCAGTTAGGAAGATGCTCTCAAACCGACGTGATACGATAAATGGTTTCTTTTTTTTGCGGTGAACGCGCAGACCTGTCATTTTGGGTTAAAATGAAGTGCCAATATATACTTTTTCTCCTCGATTCCTTATCGTTATCGTGATATCCAACAGTATCTTAATTAGTGCTGATGCTTGTATATTTTGCGTTATGAATTTTATCATTAGAAAGAACATAAATAATAAAACTTCTTCCAATGAAAAAATGTATAAAAATCCTAAACATGTCATGATATTTAAATATTTATCGTCTATTCTTATTTCACAGGTGGAGTAGCAACAGTAGAAATAGATGAAAATTTATCTGATGTTGAAGTAATCTCCCCAACTGGGACTCGAGTGGCCGAAGCTCACTTGGAAGATACAGGACTCCTCACATTCCCAGCGAGTCGTGTCGGTAGATATGTGGTGAGGAGTTCAAGGGGGCCGGTAGCTGACGTAGAAGCGCTCGACGCCTCTGCTGTCCAAGTACTATCTATTGGCGATGCTGTTGCTCATCGACCAGCTGTACTTACTGGTAAGGTTCCTTACTTTAAATTGTAACTTACTAGGAATAAACTATTACAGGAAAATTAAATATGTTGCCCACAATATATGTATAGTTACTGATGTAAAAATGCAGTAACCGATATAAACCTTTGTTTTTACACGATTTATATTAGCTTCACTTGTACATATGTATGCTTGTAACCGACTCCTTTGGGCGTGATTTTGACTGACTTTAAACGGTCAGAATTCGTTCAAACTTTGTAGATATATCGAGGACCGATGACAATACACTAATTTAAAAAAATATATACATATAGTTATTTTAAAACCTTACTGCTTTGTAGTATTCTAACTGTGAATATGTTCATTAGCTTATTTGCCACTTCGGTTATTTAAAACTTTAACGGGCTGACTTCTTCAGGAGCACTTCATGACTGTACATGACATGAATTATGCATTTATATATAAAGTACTCGTATGTGTATAATTCCAGTAAACACAAGTGGCGCGGGCAACGGTCGGCTATCAGGCCGGGTCACTTGCGGAGGTGCAGGTGTGCCACATTCAGTTCGACGTAGGGGTGGATCTAGACAGGAAGTCGTGTGGCACCCAGCCAGAGCAGCACCTCACCGTTTGACGTTGCTATGGAGTGGCTCACCTATATCCAACCAGCCATTGATCATCGACGTGCAGCCCGCACACCACTCCCAGGAGGTATAATATGTCGTAGTACGATCCATATTCGGTTTTATTTTAACTTAACTACTTACTTAACACTTGAAAATAAACTTTAAAACTATTGTTATAAAGTTATGTATTGTTATTAAGTGTGTGCATACATGTCTGAATATGACAAAAAAGGCCACCACAGCCTCAAGGTTGTGCGAACATTTTTGAATAAACCTTCTAAGTGTTTCATAGACAGCGGTTTTACATAGTGTTTTTCAAGTCATTCAATTTTTTCCTGAGAATAACTTCTTAAGCTAATTCTTTAACTTTTCAATAGTAAAGTTAATTGATACTACACTAAAGCCAAAACCACAAATGACATAATTAACCCACAAAACTGTTAGATCATCTAGATTGCATCAAAGATTATCATTAACGTATTGTTTACGAAGGTGGCGGCCTCCGGTCTCGGTTTGTACCAAGCGCAAGTGAATCGTGTTGCATCGTTTAGTATTGATACTCTCGGTCGTCCAGCGAGGGAGTTTGACGTGGTTGTCTCTGGTCCTGGTTCAAGAGCACTGCCAGTCAGGTGTTATCAGACTAAGTCGGGGTTATTGCAGGCCGAGTATACGATCACCGAAGTTGGTCAGAGCACGATAGGTAAGGACTAATCTCAAATATAAGTATCAAGTTTTAATTTATTTTTAGTAGTTGTTTTTATTGATAGTAAAGCTTCTCAATTGGTACTAAACGATACAAAAAATGAATGATTTGAATATAATTATTGTAGTTTAGATACATACTCGTATAAGTATAACAATAATTAAGAACTATAAACTCCAATTGTGTCTCGTTGCTTGTTTTTATTCAAGCTTATCAAGTAAATATTTACATTTGTGTCCTATACTCATTGTTTGTTTGGTACCACATTTAAAAAAAAAACATTGTTATTATTAATAATTTGCTATGTATATCATAACATTATCTTTACTTTACTTTGTCATTTCAGAGGTTTTACACTTATCAAAACCTGTATCTGGCAGTCCATTCACTTGTGAGTCGTTCGATCCGAATAAAGTTATTATATCTGGATTACCTACAGGAAACATTATCGCACAAACACCTATCAATTTCACAGGTACCGCTTTTATTATATTTTATTGAAGTGACTATATCATCTACGTATTAACAAAAAAGTATATAAGTGTTCTAGCAGTCAATATAGCTTTCATAGTATAAGCTCTCTTAGTTTGAAACTAGATGGCGATGTGTGAGATATCCAAAATATTAGTTTTAAGTATTATAACAATAACTTGGCGGCTAATTCGTCATCATACTATATCTACTGCTAGACAGAGGCCCTACTCGGTGTCTATAAGTAAAAGTTGTATGCGGACTATTTGGGTTTCAGATATGTAAAGTTATTTTTAAAATAGGTTCTGCATAAACTCACATAATATTAGTTTATTTTTAAAAGTTGTTTTTAAAACTTTATTATGATTACTTCTCATTTGCAGTTGACACAAAAGACGCTGGTGTAGCGGAACTTGAAGTGGTATGTGAAGCGATGGGCGAACGTCGCGTACGTCTACCAGTCGATATTAGAGAAGATGGACACACATATAGAGTGCGTTTGCGACCCACTGTTCCTGCTCATTACAGAATATACATCACTCATGGTGGTATGTTAACAATTTGATATTGCCGTCAAAATATTAAAGACAGCCAGCAAATATTAAATGACAGGCAAAGGGCTCAACTGACACAACAACAAAACTTCTATCCTAAATAAACTGTTTATACCAATAAATAAACTACCTTTAAGGCCTTAAGCAATTTTAGTTTCTCAGTCACTCTTTTTCTGGTCTTAGTGACGTGATGAATAAATCTTGTTTATATCTCGAGTGTCAGAAAATATAATAAAGAAATTTTTGTGAATAAATCAATTTCAAAACACTGTTAAATTAAATTTAATCGCGTTGAAGTTGATTTACCTTGGGTGTTCAAGGGGCGGGAAGGCTGCTGAGTACGTCGGAAGAGCGCACGTGGCTTTAAATCCGTTGCGTTACATTACTAACAACACGTTTCAGTAGCTAACCGGAATGCAGAAACACTCCTATGATTTTACATTTCCCGGTTTCGCGTACGGCGTTGATACCATTTTTGCGAGAGAGATGGAAACTGAAGCGGGTAGTGTGCGAAAGGAAGGGTGTTTAATGCGTTCAGATGTATTATGAATTTGTAATTAAATACTATATTGTAAATGCTCGAGTTAAAATATATATTTCTTAGATCTAATTATGGCGTTATCGGCGTTTACACGTAAAAATAGAGTTAGTCGCATTTATCAAATATCGTGTAGAAATCTTTTAAAACTGCATCGGAATTAAGAAAGTAACTAACTAAGAGTGTTAAAATATTGTTGAAGGAGCGAACGTGACAGGCAGCCCCGTCTCCCTGGGCATACTGAGCGGTCGGAGCAGCAGCGTGGCGCGCTGTGCGGGCACCGGGCTAGCGCACGCGCACGTCGGGAAGGAAGCCGCCTTCACCATCAACTGTACAGAGGACACGCCGCCTACTGTACAGGTAACGAAACTTTATATAAATAGGAACAATAACTATACAATTGTTTTTTGTATTGGGCACCGAACCGAACACTAAACTGTTGTCATCGCTAACATCAATCTCCCTCATTTTATTTAACTTTACCTAAAATTTCCCCCTTATTTCCTGAAGAACAAAGTCCAACGACTACTTGTTAATCAAAATTGTTTTTTTTTGTCGGTTATAGATTTTTTTTTTGCTTTTTAGGTCGAAAGATTAACAACAGATGAAAAAGAGGACAGTCAGGACTCTGGTCTTTTAGAGTGTCGAGTAGTAGCAGGTGCAGCGCGCGAGTGGCTCTGTGCGTACATACCGCTGGTTGTGGGGCTCTACGAGGTGCGGATATTCACCAGCAGTGGACCACTCCCCGGTAGCCCATTCTCCGTTAAGGTCAGTCTTTAACCAAATTATGAGAATTTATTTATAAATCTAACATTTATGACATTTCTAAAGATTAAAATTTGATTATAGCTGTTCGTACTGACTAGGACGATAGGGTAGCAAGGATCTCTTGAGGTATAATCGATGCAACCGCTACTATTCTCTGCAAAAACATTTCTGTACCCTTTCCAACAGAGTAAGCTTAAAACATACTAGATATATCCTAAATAATAATTTATTTATACATCTGTATTTGAGTTGAATTTCCATTAAAATCAAGACTACATAGCGAATAGGCACTACAAAGAAAAAAAAGTGTAGTTAAATTATTTGAGGGATAGTATAGATTAGAATAAAATAAAAAATAAAAAACTAGACTCAATTAAATTTTAGATATATTAAAATCTTTACATGGCGTATATTAAATTCATATACAGGTCATAGACACTTCAGCAATCGTCCCAGTTGGCGGTTGGGGAGCAGACGCGTCGGGACGTGTGCGAGCGCCATCAAAACTTGTTCTCGACACAAGTAACGCTGGCCCCGGCACACTTGAATGTTTGCTAGCGGGAAGACATCAACGTAAGTTTTTTAATAAATTGACTTAGGTGTCGAATGACAACGAATGGATTTTTTTTTGATTTTTGATAAAATAAAATGTCGTTTTAAAATTGTATGACATCAAACGTAAATGACATAACAGCTAAAGTGGATAGAATATATACAAGTATATACAAACATATGTAACATACATATACAAGTCAATGCAGTTTACTAGCAACTATACGTTTTAATTTTACGCTTATACGACAATTTAAATTCATCGAGATCCTTCGTTCTTTTCTAGGCCAACGTTTATTTAAAATAATGTAAGACTCTGATATTAGATGAGTCGTTCGATTGAGCCGTGAATTTGGTCGACAGGTGTGGAAACGGTGTCGGGTCGGGCCGTGGTGAGCCTGTCGGGCGAGGCGGGCGGCGAGCAGGAGCTGGAGCTGACGTACAACGGCGCGCTGGTGGCGGGTGCGCCGCGCCGCGCGCTGCTGGCGCCGCCCGCCTCCGCCGACCGCGTCACGCTCGCCGGCCGCGGCCTCGCGCACGCCTCGCCCCACGCGCCCGCCGTCTTCACCATCGGTCTGTACCTACTCGCGCTGTTCCTTAGCGTACGATAATGTTTATCATAGCACAGGCTCTGCCTAGTTATGATCTTTAACTCAGGTTTTCGTACTTCAGCTACCGAAATGCGTGAAAATTACTTTTCACGATGTAATATAATTAAATTGTACTTATCTTTGTGAGAGAAGGAAAATTTATAACTTTGATATTACTTACTTTACAAAATATGAGTCCTTAAAATGTTTTATCTACGACCGTGTTTGACATTGTGCTCAATCTTTATGTTTTTAACTTACTTGATTTGTACCGAACCCTAACTAATACGAATTAGAAAACTATTATCATGTCTGGTTTGATCTATACTGGCCAATCTTTATTTAATAAGCTTCTGTTAAACTGAAAGCAAAAATAATACATTGAATCCATTTTTACCTTTTATAGATGGGAGTGCAGCCGGTCCAGGTGCTCCAGAAGCATCTTTAATGTCTCCAGACGGCGACAATATCCCTGTACCATTAACAGCAGCTGGACCGGGCTTATGGAGAGCTACTTACACGCCACGAAATGTAGGAGACCATCAACTTCGAGTTCTATGGGCTGGAAGACTCGTTAAAGGTATTATCTAGTGATTGTTAAAGGAAGTGTTATATTTTAAATACGTTATTGTAACATTTAACTAAAATCGAAACTCGAAAGTTAAAGTGCATAGAAATAGTGACGCATAAAATCACGCGTTACTATTTCTATGCACCTTAACCTTCGAGTCGAGTATCTCATAGCAATATGTTCTACTACCAGGTATCTGTTTCAGTGCAGAATCTTGATTAAAGGTTTAAGTTCTCATAAAGTTATCATTTGAAATGAGAGTATGCTTGAAGGGAGATTAAGTACAAATATTCAAGAGATTTAAGAAATGTGTTTGCTGGTATATGACACAAACACACAAATACAAACTGATGATTTTTGTTTTACCACTAAATCGGATTTGGGTACCTATTGCGTTTTGCGTAACCTTCATAGGGTCGTATTACAGAGTCCCAGTAATTCACTCTTAAATATCCAACTATTAAACAGTAAAGACAGTGTTTAATGACTGAATCCTTAGAATAGTGTAGGAACACTACTCTACTTGAAAAATTTACATAATGCGACTTGCGAACTTGAAATAGAGACAAGATAACAGAAACATATTTATTAATTGTCATGGTCCGTGTGGTGATGGATTAAGAATAGGGAGTGTTACCACTCATATTTATCTACGGGACAAACTACGCAGGACAACAGCACTGCGAAGACATGGAAAACTTAAACCCCAGTGGTCTATTAAAGGCTGTCGATGATGATGATGATTTATTAATTACTGTCTGATCGCTTACGGATAAGCCTGATACTGAAGAAGTAATACGAGAATAACTAAAAATGTTTTGCAAACTGACGTAATTACAATAACTCGGGCGCTATTTAAATGTTACGTTTTATTTTTATGTTTTTATTTTCAATAAGTAAAGTGAAATATATAATCGAGATCCATGTCCTCCACTAAGTATTATGGGTTGCGCAGGCTGTCCGCTGACGGTGAGCGTGTCGGCGGGCGGGGAGAGCGGGGACGCGTCCCGCGTGGTGTGCTCGGGGCCGGGGCTGGCGGGCGGCGTGCTGGGCCGCGACATCCGCGCCTGGCTCGACACGCGCCGCGCCGGGCCCGGCGAGCTCACCGCGCACTGCACCGGGCCCAACAAGGTAACGAGGAAGGCATCACTTACACATACATACATACATTCAATAAACGTTATTCATAATTCATTCAGTATGAAACTTCTTTCTTCACTCCTATAGAGTAAAATATTTTCAGTTTTCTCTCCATTCTAATTATTGGCCATTACCATACTTTTTTTACTAAATATATTACGGTGACTCAGAACTCGCTCCATTTTTCAGGTGGCGTACTGTGAACTTTACGAGCACGGCGATGGCACGTTTACCCTGAATGTGAAGCCAGCGGAGGCGGGTAGACATATGCTCAGCATACAGTTCGCCGGAGAACACGTGCCGGGGTCGCCTTTCGTACTCAAAGTTGCAGGTGCTCCCGACCCTTCAAAGGTATCTATAATTTGCTAAATCTTATGATTGTATAATTTTTAGTAATATGTATATTTGTAAAATTAACACTTTAATATTCTTCAAAACGAACTTTTTCAATCTCCAGATCTCAGGGTGCACTTTTACATCAGTCGTTTATTCATTGTCCACCGTTGTTATTAAACCTCGCAACTTTTTGCATATAATAAATACATTCATATTTCTCCTTCGTAGGTCCGCGTTTATGGTCCGGGTGTGGAACCAGGCGTGCTGGCTACATTCCAGTCGCGATTCCTATGTGACACACGCGGTGCAGGAGCAGGACAGCTGACGGTGCGAGTGAGAGGACCTAAAGGCGCTTTCAGAGTTGAGATGCAGAGAGAGAGCCAGAAAGATCGCACTATACTTTGTAAAGTAAGTTTTATTATTCATTTTGTATATGGCTGCACGGATGGCGTAGTGGTTTGAGCGGTCACCTCGCCGCCTCCTGCTACAATGAGTGTTGTTGGTTCGATCCCCACATGTGACGACACTTTGTGTGATCCGCAAATTGTCGTTCTGAGTCTGGGTGTTATTTTTGTCCGTTTCATGTATGTTTGTAAAGTCCCCCACGATAGGATATATTTCATAGTGCTGCAGTTGTCTTTTAAAGAAAACCTCTTATGGTACTCTGTTCCATTCCTTACTTTCTACTATACATTTACACTAACAGTATTCCTTTGTGAGGTGTTCTATCACCTTTGCCCAACTAAGTTGATACACTGAACTTCGATTTTTTACGCGTTCAATATAGTTAAGAGAAATAACCTACATTTGCTTAGAACGCTGCCCTATTTCATCCGATCATCATAAAACTTGTATATAGGTACATTGCCAGAGAACCTTTCACCTTAAAAGAAATTCAGAGGGATAATGATTTTATGCCAAGCTGTGCGCAAAAGCTAGTAAATAATATTTTTAAAACGGCCAACCTTAATCATGTAGTAGATACGCTATTACATAATAAAACAATACATATTTCTTCATTGAATCAATGAAACCGTTTTGTAGCCTATAGCTACAAAACTGGTTTGTTCGTAAACCCGTTCGTGTTTGGTTATTGATGTGTGTGTGTGTCTTTATTAGTATAAATAACTTACCAATTACCTTTAGGCTACTTACCGCAGTAAATTTAATTGAGTTTGAACAAATACTCATTTCAAATCATATTTTTTTCAAACTTGAAAAAACCATGATAGTAAAAAACTGATCAGTGCGTTCATTTATTTTACTTTTGTTTATATTGTTTTTTTAAGTTTCAGTAGCAAAATCTGTTCATATTACTGAGTACAATATGTAGAAAAGTATAGAGTAAAATCACTTCTTTAAAGAGAAATACCACAAGTACAGTTTCAGAATGTCTACGACAGGTTATTGATAATATAATCATGTATTCGGTATGGAACCACGTGTTACATAAAAATATAATAATAAGATACAAATTACTCTTATTAAAAAAAGTTAATCAATAAAACTATGGAATTGAATTAATTCAAACGTAACGACTGGCACTTTTAATTATTTGTTGATCGGCAAATAGTTTAAACGAGTTTGAAAACTTCCTACTTTGGATACCAACACAGACAGGTGTTTGAAATTAAATAGTAGAAAGTAATGTTTTCGTTACGCTTATTATTTTCCTACTAAGCCTCTATAGTGTTAATATTTAGATTAACGAACGAGCTTTGTGAACAAACCTGTCGCGCACGTAACAATGACTAATTATCGAAGATGTGCATTCCACTTTGGTGATGATTAGTAGACTTTAACTTTTCCGGCTCCTTGTCGCTCCTGCAGTGTTGTCACCGAAGATTTTCGCCTAGTGGAGAGTTGATGGAAGAAAGCAGAATTTGGTGACCCTACATTTGAAGCAAGGTTAGAAAATATTCAAAAACATTTGAGCATAATTACACTTTACACGGATGACACCCGTTAGGGTTAAGGACGACGCGCTTGTGCACAACCACGAGAGCAGGTCACCGATGGCGACGGCTTGAAAATTATGTAAATTATCAACGGCTTAAGGAGCGGGTTCCCAATGCATTTATGCTGCTAAATTAGATTCAACTTTGGAATACTGCCTAATCATGCTACTCGCCACGCAGATTTCTCCGATTTGCCGAGCACATCCAGTGCTTACGCTAATAGATCAATAATGTCACGAGCTTCTGTCATTTGTATATTTTGCCTACGAGTCAGTTAATTTAGCAACGGAGCCGGAACAGTCTTTGGTCATGGAAATCTCCATTATGATTCTGACAAATTTGAAGTATTGAGAATCAAGGTATCAACTTAAGCGGTGAAAGTCATGTAGCTATACATTATATATGAAGATCACACTGGAAAAGGAACAGTAAACAAAAAGCGATCAAGATTCAAAGTAGAAATTCATGTAAATTACCAGAACACGCTATTGTAACTATGAACAAAAACAGTTTACCTGATATGTCTAAGAGAGTTAAAGTATATTCTGGCAAGTGGGAAAGGTGTATTATTTTTCAGTGCCGCACAAAAATATCCTGTAACATACACCGTGCTACATGTTCACCACACTCATGGGTATAAATAGGCGATTTCTGTTATTTATACTTCCATTCTTTTGAAAATATTTACTCAAGTACAAATAACGATCACAGCAAATCATAAAAGCGTGACGGCCAAAAAAACGGAAAAGAATAACCATCTGAGCTCTATTATATATAAATATTTCTTGTTAAACTTTAATGTCTTGTACACGAAGTACACATTACACGAACGATTGAGAGGAATGTGTTTGTCTTTACAATATATTCTTTAGAATTGTGCTCTTACATCAAGAAAAGCATGTTCCCAAAAAATGAATTCTTTAGAAGTTTGTTTTTCAATCTAAATCAGTTATGCGTCGGTTTTACATAACACTCACATTAGTTCAACTTTCTGTAACTTGTATAATTGGATTAGAACGCACATAAATCATACAGATAGTTGTCTGTTCTAACTAGTGATGTGCCGGATCGTTAACAAAGTATATCCGCGGATACGGAGCCGAAAACGGATATTTGGTGTCAAGATCCGCGGATACGGATACGGATCTTAAGTTTCTTACTCAATCGGAGCCCGTGACCTTGATAGTTGTCGCCACTTGACGCTTTGCCGTTGATATTTAAATATTTCATTATTTTAATAAGCTAATACAAAGATGTTTGATTGATCTCATTATAAAGATAGCTCTTTCAGTACCTACGACCTGCCTAGTTGATTTAGTGTAGTACGATAAATGATTGCAATACAAAGGTGCCAAATATTTGTTTTAAGAAATAAAAAGTAATCTAAACAGAATTCAATAGTTTTTCATAGCTACCTAATAACCATTATTCAGGGTTATTTTAAATTTACTGAAAACCTCTGAAGTGCATATTAGTAACATTATAAACAACAACTTTTCTTCTGGACTAACACCGAAAACGAAAGAAAAAAATTGTTTCTCCATACAAACTAACAACATTTGATTGGTCATTTTAATGGAGGACCAATTTTTTTTCATTTTGACGTTGGCCAGAAAAAAAGTTGCTATTTATAGTGTTACAAACACATACCTAAGAGTTTTACAGTGAATACAAAATCACCTATATAGAATTTCATCTATGTAATATGTATTGAAAGATCCGCCAAAAAAGTCACGGATACGGATACGGTTACGGATCTCTCTTCTCCCTTGGATATCCGCGGATACGGATACGGATATCTGGCACATCACTAGTTCTAACTATTGTAATGGTCTATGTCAGTGTTAGTGTCCTATTACATAAAATCATTTAATTCCTTATTACTGATACGAAACTAATTAATTTTTAATCGGCAACTGATTTATGAATGTTTTTTTAACTTTTTGAGCTATACGTTATTTAATGTCCGCATCACATAAGCCTATTGCCGTCCACTGCTGAACGAAGGCCTCCCCCAAAGAGCGCCAACCATCCCGGTCTAATGGTTATCCAATGTCCTCATATCGTAATTATATTATATATATATATATATATATATATATTAGGTTGTATTATTTGTATTATATGTATAAATTAGCATGCAAAACAACCTTATTTAAATACGAATTTAATCTCTTATCTACTCGACTACTATACTTACATACCATTTTTCAAATAACATCATTGCCGTGACACTTGATTTTATCAATTACACGCAGTTTAATATTTGTATAAAATACAAAAAAAAACTCGTACTGATAGATAAATAAACATAATTTTTATTTAGTATCGTTTTAACTTTGATTTTTAATTCTATATAAAAATGCACAAATTAAATAATTGTCTAGTACCCACAGTACAAGCTCTGCTTAGTTTGGGACTAGATGGCATTGTGTGAATGTGGTACAATATTATTTTATTATTATTTATTAAATACATATATATTTTAAAACTCTATGCATAGATATGAAAAATTAAAAATATATATGATTAATGCACGACTTGAATCGTGACGTCATGGAGATTAATACAATGCAATGGTATACACACTTAGTAAATATACACGGTCATTACCACGAAACAATCGTGGGATCGTAAACAAATACTGCCTATTATACAAAAAGATTTATTGAATTCTCTGCCGAAGATGTTTGTGTGCAAACAAATAAGTACTTTACCTTCTTCTAGAGCGTGAGAAAATTATGTTTGTTAAGACCACAAATATGAGCCGTGGGAAATAATCCACAGAAATAAATAATTAATTCGTACCATCATTTACACTAATTAAAGTGTTTTATTGCAATAATGCACTTTTAAATATTTTTCACTAATTATGGAACTACAATAAAAGGACGATATACATTTAGTAAATTAGTTTAATTACAAATACCAATGTCATATAAATAAAGTTGTCACTGTTTATTATTATTTAACACGTTCAGCCATATCAACATCCTTGACATCTTTGATTTGTTTATATACAGTTTTCACCAACGGAACCAGGCGACTATCGAGTAGAAGTTCGGTGGGCTGGCCGTCACGTTCCAGGGTCCCCCTTCCCCGTCATGATCTTCGACACGCAAGAAGAACTTCGCCGCTACCTACAGGCCAGCGCTGCTTGACATCATACCAACTCGGCGCCATTTCAAACAGTAGTCTCCCTTTGAGAGATAATCACTGAGCTTTTCAACCTACAGCTAATATTGCAAAATAAGCCCTACCGATTGTGGAACCACACAATCACACGCAGTCTTTGAAAATCATAAACTCAGTCTTGCAAAGGGTTCATCTAAACTTAATTTGTACAATTTTTTTTTTTTGCGTTCGCGTGATTTGAATATGGCTTATTCTTATTCTTTTCTATCTGTTTATATTTGGTGAAACGTGTACAGATTATTTGTAGTTACTTTATACCTGTATATATGGGTATAATTATTTGAATATTAGTCGTGTAATTTCTGAAGGCAGCTACGAATGTTTGAATGTGAACGAACAAATTTATGTTTTTACAAGTATAGATATAAATATTCTAATTCAATGGAGTATAATGTGTTGTCCACGTAATTTGGGCATTTGTACGATTTTTATGGAAAACGACGCCATTAAAGTAACTGTATTTAAATTATTAATTAATAGAATCTCTTAACTATCTATAAGTACATGCATTTTAATGCAAAATTTAATATAATCTAAGAAATAAATGCATAATAATATCTTTGTTAATATTTATTAATAACGACATTTAGTATTTACAATCATTTAACTTGTAACTAACGAGGTATTTGTTTATTGTTATTGCGCGAACAAGTTCCGACCACAATGAAATGAAGTTGTCCGCGTAAGCCGCTGAATTATTCAGTTACTAATTGTTAATAAATGAAACTTTATAAAATTGTTATTTTATTTATTCAATGTATCAACCAACATTATACCAAAGTTATAAACCTGACTATTTAGTCGCAAATTTCAAATTATGTCGGGCTGAATTCATAAGTTCTATTTGCGTTAGACAATTTTTACCTGACTTATACATACATATAACTCGGTTACATAATAAATAACCAACACTACCTTAGTTGGTTATCTAGATTTTAATAATCGTTCCTGTATTAAAGACCGATTCGGTGCAATTTATGCAGAATAAGTGTGATTCAACTCCCTGTTGATATCCAATTATCTTCAATCTGACACACCTTCCACACTTATTGTTCTACCTTCTAGTAACGACCGATACTAAAGTGTGACTTAATGATAGTCCCTATTCATCCTACGGGAAGGTAAATTAAATGAAACACTATGCCTGTCAGGATACTGCACTTTAGCTACGGCTGCTCGAGCAGAGCGGCCATCGACGAGCTGCACACGTAAGGCATCTAAGCTTTTCCAAAGCTGCTGCATCTGGCCGTAGATAATCACTTCTAACCGCTGGATTGAACTGTGAAGCTCTCCTACAAAAGGAAATAAAAGATTTTATAAGCAAGGCTTTATTAACTGTTGTACTCTGTGCTCTTGATTTATTATTTTAATTAACAATCGATCAATCTGATAAATTGGAGTTGAGCTGCTCTCGTATCATAATAAAAGCACACGTGCATCACCAACTCATAACATTTACCTAAGTTTATCGAGTGTAGATCACGGCCAATCAATCTGATAAGATACGGTGGGCAAGTAACTAGTAGCTAATCGTAAAGAGTGATAAGATTCATCACTCTTTACGATTAGGTACTAAGTACGACGTTATAATGTTCTTGATACTCTTGTTCACACCATGTTACCATGTAGCAGATGGCAATAAACAATATAGTATAGGTTAATTATAAATCCATCGAGCCGTTTTGTAATAAACTTAACTGTCTCTCATCCACAAACATTCTCAAAGTCGCAATTATAATTAGTGGGATCAATAACTCTCACCTCAATAGACAGGTAACTTAGGTATGGCTATATATCCGCTAAGTGTAAGAATTACTGTTTTTGCTAGAGTAGGCCAGCGGTCACAATGTAACTAGGTAAATTAGATATAGAGGGTTAAGTAGGTTTATTGCCAAAGATTTATTGAATATTTACCTATTTCAAGATGTTTTTAGATTTCCAGACGCACTTGATATATCTTCTCATATCTACTCACTCTACTCTTAATAGTTATTGGCTAAAAATTTAATCCCAAAGTGACTGACTTTGTGACTTTAAATTTATTGAGCGACTGCGTGAAATAAAAATATTGACGGTTACCCGTTAATCTCAGAAACAAAAATATACGAGTAATAAGGTAATCATGTTTACACAATTGAATTGTTAAATTTGCCTTCACTGATCCTAGCCCCATTAAAGTGCGTTTGAGTCACTTAAATAGACTTTAGCGACACTATTAGGTACGTTTCGCCAAAATCAGACTATACACATTTGACTTTTATTTAAATTTACTCTTTTTTCATGTGCGGAAATCCCCTCGAACACCACCCACCGGTGGTTATGTTGGACTCGAACCGACCAAAAACCGCACGGGTACCAGTTGCTTGATACCCCGACGTACCTCAGGCCATCTTCGACGTGTAAATGACCCCCCTCCTGTGTGGGAACCCCTATGTCCCCTTTGCAAGGATAACTTTCTCGCAGAAGGAGACGACGGAGTTCCACGAACTCTCATGTTACCTAGCGAGAGAACTCCCACTGCGATGACCGCCACGAGGCAAACGCCTCTGCTCCACCCACTGCACTCGGGCGTTGGCTCAGGTGATCTCCGAAGCATCCTTTTTAGGTGATCACCTGCATCCACCGGTATGAAAGGGTTCCGTGATGCCTCTCGAACCAATCCTACATAACGGGTCTTACCACCGCGATAACGGCGTGCCCAGCGCTCGGTTGCCCAAGTCGTTCCTTCCACTCCTCCACGAGGAACAGGCGGAGTTGGGATTTTTGATCCTCGATTTCTCGAAACTCAGGACACCGACCCAACTCCCGCGCCTCCTTGCGCCACTAATACAAAGCCGCATATTGAAATTTACCCTGAACTGACTACAACAGTTAAAACTACTTTCAAAATTAATTTCTAAAATAAGTACCGTTTACATTAAAATGTCAGCTTATAGAACATTGTTTAGGTTCATAGACTTACTAGATGTGACAACTCCGTGTAGCCGTCTAGTGATGGTAGCGTTAGCAGTGGCGTTGACCTCTTGCGTCTTGACAGAGCACATGGCACGAGCTTCTTCACGGGGTCCACTGCCATGATATGTCGCGTTACGAACTTCAAGGAATGGCTGCTTAGGTCTAGCGGTTACTTCAGGTACATTGTTTACTAAGTAGGATGGGCCGCGTGCTGTAAACGACAAGAGTCATACCCGCACTTCAAGTAACTATAGGCACATTGATTCAAACAAGAAAATCCTTCTTAAAAAATGTTGAACCGACTTCAAACAATACTAACAAAGAGCACTAAAAAACCTAGCAGCAATCGCGGTTGATTTGATTTTTTGAAGTTTCATTATTTGTCTCCGAAACTCATCATCAGATCTATATGAAATTCAAATGGAACCATGTCGAAATAAACCGCTTTCGAATAAAAATAGAACATACATAAAAAAATACATTAAAATCCGAATTGATAACCTCCTTTTTGAAGTCGGTTTAAAAATATTTCAGTGCTATCCAATTGCTATCCTGGTATGCTTTAAATACTGGTGATTGCAGTGCTTAAGACCTGTGACTGTGTATTTGTTCGATAAATTTAAAAGAAACATAATTATTAATTATCTTAATTCATGATCCCGCACTGTTTTCCCTTACATTAGTTTACACAAAGTCACCTCCACACAGTATACACACAAAACTTTAAATTAATTTGGTTAGGTAATAAATCAGGAAATAAGCCGAATCATGTTAAATATGATAGGTAATTAATAACAATAGGACCGTTTTGACAAAAGCTTCAATTATCTCTTGTAAAATATTATTAACGGCCTAAATAAAGTTTTTTATTTGTCTTAAATTGCAGATTCTAATCACTCATAACGAATGTATGGTTTACTACCCATGTGGGTACTACGGCAGACAATGATACCTACATACGTAGGTACCTATAGTAAATAGCGGACAAAGAATTTCACTTTTGAAAGAGCTTTTTATTTGAAGGAACCCTAAATATTACCAGATAAAAAAGTAGGTCAATCAATTAACAAGCATCTGTAAATTGGTCCTGAATTCGTTGTGGATAAGAGCAATAGACACCTATTTGTTCCGCTCTTGAACATTTAGGAGCAACACGATGATCATTGAACGCGCTGTTAAACAATCATTTATCATTATCATACTTCTTATTATACGGCTGAACTCTGTATCGTAAAGCAGTTTACTAAACAAAAATATTAAATCTGCATTTATATCTGTAACCGTCTTTGAAATATAGTCACTTCACATATTATTATATATACAGATATTTTGTGATTTTTTGACAAGGGAAAGTAACTTTTAAACTTTCGCGTTCCATGATAATTAATATTATTTAACGGGAATTAACGCGACCTCTCTCTGTGACCCTGAACATTTAGAACAGGAGCTAAAACATGTTCAGGAGGTACTCAAAGGTAACGGATATCAAGTGAAAGGAGGAAGGAAGCAACCGAAAATAAGACGCAAGTATCCAGAAGTGAACAGGCAACCGGCCTATATGCCTTATGTCAAGGGAGTTACGGACAAGATCGGGTCTGTACTAAAGAAATATTCCATTCCGACAGTATACACACCAGGCATAAAGGTTCACAACATCGTCGGCACACCGAAGGATACATTGCCACTACAAACTCCGGGTGTTTATAAAATAGACTGCAGCTGCGGAAGCTCATACATAGGCCAAACTAAGCGGACTATTGCAGAAAGGGTCAAAGAGCATATCGCTGCTGTGAAGAACCGACAGACGAGCAAATCAGCGATTGCAGAACATGCACTCGATGCAGGCATCAACCACTGGATTGAATTTCACCGCACGCAAGTCCTCTCCACCGAACGTCACTTTTACTCAAGAGTTGTACGTGAAGCGATTGAGATTAAAAAGCATAAAACTTTCAATCGGGAAGATGGTTTTAAATTATCTACAGCGTGGAATCCAGTGTTAAAAAACATACCACCTCGCTTTTCTGCGCAATCGGTTAAACACCAGAATAGGGACTCATCGGTTTGCTTACAGAATAGGGACACTGTTAGTGTGGTATGTGACGGTACATGGCGACACAAAAACAATATCGAAAATGTGCGGGTAGATGAAGAGCCTTCTACTTCACGGATTCGACGACGGAGGGCGTGCGCCGATGAGCCAGTCAGCCTGTGACCACGGCCGGTGCAACCTGGTCGAAACGTCAGGCAAACCAGAGGTATGTAATACCCTAAATAAGAGATCGCGTTAATTCCCGTTAAATAATATTAATTAAGGGAAAGTAAGTAATGGTGTACCCCGTTAAACAAAACGCTAACTTCATAACTGATGCTGCTATAATATGAAACACCATTTGACCGTTTACAGGTACACAGAGTTTCTACTTCTGATCCAATAATTTTAATCACTATTAAAATGTTGGAGTTAAGACACCAGCATGATAATTATTAGATAAATGGGATAATAATTATAAACTTTATAACTGCTTTATAAAATATATTCACTTGCTCGGTGTCTAACTGTTAGTTCGGAACAATGTGACTTAATGCATGAAATATTCCCTAAAGATTATTCAGAATTCATGTGACAAGGCCAATACTAGTAGTATCTCTCAATGTCATACCTACATGCACTGAAAGGTGCTAGTTTCACTATAACATGGGAGTTAGTCTGTATTCTAAAGACTAAAATTATTAGAAAAATTAAATGATGCCGTGATGTGATCGGCCCCTTGGTAACTGTTAGGTCGAGTTTTTTGAGTTTAATCCCCAGATAGGTCAATGATTTTCATGACTGTACAATAGCTACCCTAATTTTGGTGTCCTATTTAAATTCACGTAGTATATGTTCCAAGCCAACTATCATAGTAAATACGAAGTCTATATAATTAAAAAATATGTACGTGTAAAATTTTCTAAATGAAGTAAATAAGAATATTATTACAATATAAATATTAGCGATGGTTATCTTGTGAATTACATTTCGTGCTGTATAACCACTAGTTTTTGTAGGATATATGTATGTACTTAGTTCAAGCATATTTCCAGTTGGGTGTATCCAGTTTGAGTAAGAATTTAGAAATAGTGTTTATAAAAGTTTTGCTACTTTAGAACGACTGCCACGATTCGAACATATGTGTGAAAACAAATAATTCTACCTATTAAGTTATTAATACACCTACCTATTTTGTAAAATTCCCGCGACTGCTTATTAAAACTATAGTGCGGAAGTAGTCTTAAAAATAATTAAAAATTACGTAAACAATTACCAGCTCCTAACTACTTAAGAGAACAAAATAATATAATTGTTAAACACATTTTTTAATTGCTCGTCGACTAATTTTCTTTTGTGTACCTACTAGATGTTTCAGACAACCGATGTCCTTGGACTATTTTACCATTTTTTTTTGTACGACATTGGCCGTATGAGCGTAAATATACTAAAGACTTACTGTGTGATTGACATTGGCAGTGTAGAAGTAAACAATGATAGTAACATATGCTTTTCATTGGTTAGCAGCGCATCACTACAGAACGATTACCACGATGTACCTATGTATATACACGCTTCCTAATCGAATCAAAAACTCGCCACAACTTCAAACTTATATCAAAATAAAGCGTAATCTTACAACTTTAGTACCTCATATAATGAAATGGGAAGAAATATATATTTTACCATGGCGATGTACGAGTAGGTACGTTACTGCGAAAGTTTACTATCGCGACGTTCTCTGTTCCGAAAGTTCTTCACTGTGAGGTAGGTTACTGCGAAAGTTTACCTTTGCAATATACGTCACTCGTCGCGAAAGTTCTTTACTACGGTGATTGCAGTTTCGATCTTTAGGTCATGAATTAGGCTTGCTGATACTGGTGGCAGTGGCAATATTATATTGTTGGACATGACTAAATTTTCAGTAAATAATATTAATTTCCAATTTTACCTATATTACGATTTATATTATAAAGAGGTTTGACATTTAATGAGTTATGGTTGAAATACAACCACGACACTATCTTTATTGGACATTTATGGAAAGTTTAACACAGAATGCAGAAATCTAACACGTAACATAACTAGATAGTTTTCTTTCTATTCCAATTTATTACATAAATTTACACATATCAGGATGTTTCCTTTTATTATATTTTCTCAACAATCTTTTTTTACCGATATGCTAATTTCGTAAAATTTATGGTAGTCATCTACATAAGTATAATCATTACATTCCTTGTAAAAAAATAATGTATTTATGTCAGATCATTTTTTAGTGTTAGAGATCCGTTGATAATGTTGATAACGTGACTGATAGTAACGGTATGTTAATCTTAATACCGCACTGATTTGGTGGGGGTGACGGAAAACGGACTACGAAACATTTATTAATATTGAAGTAATCTGCGGTGTTTTAGGAATTGGTTATTTTATATGAACTAAAGATAGATCGTTTATAATAATGAACATCAACAATGAAGATATACAATTTGAATTAATTAGCGAGGTGTATACTTTTCATATCACTTAGATGGATGAAAATACCGATCCAAATGATCATAAGCAACTGACGTAAAATATAGAACTATAAGTCCAAAATATTTTATAAACAGCTAACGTTTAATTTATTACTCGTATTATAATAAGAATAATATTTTAAGTATTTTTTTAGGATATTGGAATTTTTGTAATTTTATAAATTTATCCGTTAAACATCATGATTGCATATTGATGTAACAATATTTTTAACCGACTTCAAAAAAAGGAGGAGGTTCTCAATTCGACTGTATTTTTTTTTTTTTTTTTTTATGTTTGTTAGCTCAGAACTTTTGACTAGGTGAACCGATTTTGATGATTCTTTTTTTATTTGAAAGCTGGTGCTTCCCGTGTGGTCCCATTGCAATTTGGTTTAGTTCTGATAATGGCATCCATGAGAAAACCATATAAGTCTTAAATTTGCATTTAGTATGTTCGCGACAAATAGACGAATAACTCAATTTCACGCAAACCGATTTCGATAATTCTTTTTTTATTGGAATGGATGTACTTTAAGGGTACTTTGATGAGAGTTTGGTTAGATTCTGTTGATGGGATCCACGACAAAGTAACGGAACTCTTCAATTCTTAGGAGCAAATTAACGATACTCGGCTGAATCTTTTATGGGCTATCTGGATATTTGAGTCACCTACAGTAACGTCGTTATGGTCAAGTAATTGTCGTCATCAACAGCCTTTAATAAGCTACTGCTGGACATAGGCCTCTCCTTAGAAAAGAGGTTTTGGCCTACTATACCACGCTGGCCAGACGCGTTGGTATAGGGTTTATTTCAAGTTTTCCTTCTCTTTGCAGTGCTGTTGTCCTGCGTAGTTTGCTCCCTCACTAGACTCTTACGACACCCATGTGATTAAAAGGGGTGGTGACATTCTGTATTCTTAATCCGTCATCACAGGGTAGATTGCCTCTGTTGAGATAGGCGTTTCTTCCTGACTCCCTTTGTTTCATTCAAACGGCGCTGTCTCATTTGAGCAGCACGTTTATTAGGTCTACCCATATTCAGACAAATTAGTAAGTGTACTTCATATTCACTAAAAAGCAAAAAATAAACAAAAATTTTTAACAAAAAAAAACCGACTTCAAAAAACACTATTCCAAAACAAATTAATATGCACTAAAAAGGAAAAAAATAAATGCATATTCTTCTACAACTTAATAATCAACTTACTTTTTCTACTCATCTTTATGTAGGTGCGATCTATGTGTTAACCGCTCAAGAAGGTAGGTAGGTACCTACCCATTTCAAATCTAATTTAACATATACCTGTGAATAACAAACAACGATCAAAATATTTATTTGAGTTCTCCTAAGTAAAATAAAATGAATATAATGTAGTTACAATTATTGTTATTTTTGGAGTCGTTGTCAGCCAAGGAAACACTACGATATACCTAGCAATAATAATACGAGAATACTTTAAGACTCGTCAACTAGCGCGTGCGACACAAGCACTTCTCACTTATAAGGTGTAGGTGACACCGACTTGGCTGACACCGACTGCAAAAATAACAATAATTGTAACTACATTATATTCATTTTATTTTACTTAGGAGAACTCAAATAAATATTTTGATCGTTGTTTGTTATTCACAGGTATATGTTAAATTAGATTTGAAATGGGTAGGTACCTACCTACCTTCTTGAGCGGTTAACACATAGATCGTACCTACATAAAGATGAGTAGAAAAAGTAAGTTATTTATTAAGTTGTAGAAGAATATGCATTTATTTTTTTCCTTTTTAGTGCATATTAATTTGTTTTGGAATAGTGTTTTTTGAAGTCGGTTTTTTTTTGTTAAAAATTTTTGTTTATGTAGGCTGAGCTATGATCAGCTAGTAATACTAAACTAATAAATTATCGATTAAATTATTTATTAATTTACATTTTTATGCACCGATGTACATCGGCAGACTTAATGCTCTGGGTATTATCTATTAGCCAACCTTTGGGCGGTGTAGATATCTTGTAAGATAGTTGCACCGAGGTTAAAATTGTAATTACTGATTATAAATATATGAAACTAAACTAAACTTACATATATTATACAATTACATATATATAAATAACTTATCTACCTTATCTACCAAATGAAAGCGTAAACTTTATGTGGTTACGCGCTTTATTTACGCATGTTAAGATTTTACTGATAAAAGTTAAACTTATCAAAATTTCATTGACATTTTCAAATACGTTAAATTCATTTTTATTTTTAATAAATCTACAAATACTCACAATAGTAGTTGTATGTTGGCGCCGTTGTAACATTTGAAACTATTGTATACAATATAACTGAAAACAGTAAACCAGTTCGCCACATGTTCTTAACTTAGTTAATAATAACCTAAAGAATTAAAACAAAAATCAACGCACTAGTCACTTGCCAAATATATTTCAGAATATTTTAAATTTACTTTTTTCAACGTTCGAACAAGATTCTATGCGCGCGTCCTTTGCTCGATAAAGTCTATGGTGTAACGACACAGATCAGCGAATACTGACCGAGATGAAGTCAGAGAGTAGAGCATAAATAGTAGCCTATATATTGACCAAATATTGTACACAAGCAGTTTCATAATAGACACCGTAATTACATTTGATCCTTTTCATGTATTGTACCTCGTCCATTCAAGAAATGGAAGTACTGTCACTTTTGTCTTTTTTCTGTCAATGAACGAGTTGTAAAATGTTTGGTCACAAAACATTATCTTTTTGTTTTTAAGACTAATGTTTGACATTTCCCCACATCGTCAAACAAAGAATGCAAGCCACAGGTCATGGCGTTGCAAAGTCAGCAACTAGCGTCTATTACTAACTTTTCTAGTTTCTAATGGTCTTTGTTTTAGGTATGAGTCCACATAGTGAACAGAATAACCGCTTTCAAAGACAAATTTAATGTCCAACTGGCATTTCCATATTCAACCATTCTCTGAAAATTTTGAGGAAATTTCGAAATATTGCTTAAAAGTTCGGTAATAGAGTGATATACTATTTCAGAAATACTAATACAAGTTAGTTTTTTAAACCACTGTGCGCTACCGTGCTACTATCTTGTAATAATAATCTGTTCCAGCAGGAACTACAAACTAACTAAGGGTACGACCTCGACAAGAATAGAACTTACAGTAAATATCAATATAAGACAGACGAGTTCAATTTATAGTTTTTCATCACCCGTAGGTGTGTGTTTTTTAATAGATTCGTGCTAGTTAGGTGTCTAAAGACGCGTAGGTCGATTAACGATTGCCGCCTTTGGATGGTTCATAGTATGTAATTCTAAATTGAGGGTTTTAAATCGATAAGGAATACAAGGAAAGACTAAGTGGAAACTTTCAGTTATTTTGTGATTTTATGGGATTCTGAATTTTAATCACAACAAAAAGAGTTTATAAACTGAACTGAACCACTTGAACTGCACTATATATGTATATTTAGCGTTTCTAACCCGCTTTTACTAGCTTGGTATGTATGTATGTAATGGAATCTTCGAACGTGATGTTGACCCACTTCAAAACGTCGAATTAAATTGAAATTTCGCATACTTATCAAGGACCGATGTCAATACAATAATTTGATAAATTTGACCGATTATTCTGATCAGGATCTTCAGGATTATTAACGGCTTTTTCTACACCTAAAAATACGATAGGTAGTGTCTTTTGCTACTCACTGTGTGCTGAAACATATGTGACTTACTTACTTGTTACTTTTTTAGTCTTAATGAGAAAATAATTATCATTAATGACTAAAAAAGCAAAAATAAATTCTATATAAAAAAAAGTAAAGAACAAAAATAATATTTCTTTTTGAACTTTTAGAAAATTATTTTTTACTTTTTAGTTCGGCCAGTTACAAAAGCAGAAAATCAGTCCAGCTTCGAAAATCAGTACAGCGTGCAGGCGACTAGCGATGTGCGATTACTAGCGACCGATGGATAGCAATTGACACTTTAATTACCTATTTGGGATTAGTACTGAACATACTTACTGCTTGGCTAAAAAATAAAGTAGGTATTGTTGGCAAAATAAAAATAAAAAAGATAAAATCTGAGAACATCAAAGATTTGTAACGTTATGTCTTAAAAATCATTTTTTTGTGCGCTTACATTGCAAACGCTGACTAAACCTTACGAGATAAATGAAAATAATGTCCTACAAAATTATTTATCTTAAAAAGATCTTCAAAAAAGTTTACCTTATTACTATGTATTTATTTATTTTATTACTATCTCTTAAGGATAACTGTAATATTTCTTATCCAATTAGTGACCCTAGGTAAGTTGTGCATGACATCGGGCATGGCGTGCCTTTTTTTTGTTGAAGCTGTGGAAGATTCCTTTGGATCTCCGGCTGCTCGGGCACGCATGTGGTGTTTCCATTGTCGAAATCCATTTCATCATTCATCATTTCACCCCGACGGTCGGTCTCAGCCACCCTACTCCGAGGAGGACCCGGGCTATGTTAATTTAGCCCCCCCCCCCCCCCCCCCCCCTCGGATCGACGCCGAACCTAGTAAGACCCTATGCCGGGGAAGTCTCGCGGGAAGCCCGAGGTTGCCACGGGATAGGCAATGCCCGATGAGTCCCTACCTACCCAAGTTTCGAGCCTAGGCAGAACAGCACCGATAGCACGTTGGCGCGCATTTCGCCGCTGTTCCAGCTTCGCGCGCCACTGCACCAGTGCCTGCTCGTCCTGGTCTTCCCCACTCTCACCCCGGCGGATAGCGCGAGTCAGGTGATAGACCCTCGAGTCCATATCCACAAGGATATTAAAAGGCGAGTAACGTATCAGGACTGTTGCCGCCTCCGAAGAGATGGTGTTTTATCCCCGTACGTTCCGAAAGGCCCTGCGCAATCGCAATCCACGGTTGATCCTGCATTACACTGTTGTGGGTTTGATTCTTCCTAGGACTCTTTTTTTAAGTTTTACAAATGATATACTCATTTTCTTATTTGTTCGTATGTTCCGTGAATATGGAATTTTATAAAGAGAACAGACAGACCTGCAAAGCTGACATTCAAGTTTATTATTTCGCTGTTTTAATGTTCTTACAATTAATATCAATAATCAAATAAAATGATTTATCGTTTGTACGAATCTACACCTTTTGTACGAATAGGGACGATACAATATACATATTTCAATTGCAAAACTATTGCGTCGGTTATACTCCATTTCTTTTGCTACAATTCAGTGACCTACTTCTTTACTTCAAACCAATCGGTAGCGTAGTTTGACAAAACAAAAATAATCTTACGTCCAAAGTGTCGACCATTAATTGATTTATGAGCGCCCCGATCTCTAGTTCCCCTTGCCTGTATGTCAAGAGTTATTTGTCCGATATGATGGGTTTTTGTCATCTGGCATCGAAAGCGCTCAATCGTAACACATAAAACAAACCCATAACATATGAGTCGTAAATATCGATGAGGCAATGTAGTTGACAGTTGAACCAATGCATATTATCATTCAAAGGCCATATTGTACCATGACATCTGCATCCTGCGTTGACATCATATGGCAATTAATTAGATTTAATATCATTAGGAATGAAAAATTTCTGTATCTTTTTATCACATTAGTGCGAAACGATATAGGTACATTTAGTCACACTTGATTCATTAAATAGTTTAATTATCGCACTGGTTTGTTCACACATTTTAAAACGAGCAAACGAGCAGACGGGTCACCTGATGGTAACCAAATACCGCCGCCCATGGACACCTGCAACTCAAAATTCACAAATGCGTTGCCGCCCTTGGAGTCAGCGGGAGGGGGGATTTGGGTTTCGGTAACCTCCCTCACTCAGTGGAAGGCAACGAAAGAATTGCTTAACACCGGTTTTCTGTGAGGCCGTGGTATCATTCCGGTCGTGCCGAAGCATGGCTCTCCCACGTAAACGTAATATAATTTGGAACCTAGGAACAAGAACTTTATCCTTAACTTCATTTACCACTACCTACGGTTCAAAAATTAAAAAAAAAAACTGTGCCATGAATTAAATATAATATTTGTTTAATATATTTTTCTAGTTTACGATACATGATGAGAACGGTACTCTCTGCTGATCAAGTGTGTTTGGTCATAATGTTATAATATATTATGTATTAACTAGCGATCCGCCCCGGCTTCGCATGAGTGCTTTGTAGATGTAGATACTGCTAAAACTACTAATGTGGTGTCAGTGTGGTGTCATTAATTACATATACTAATTGATTTACATTAATAGCACAAGTTATCTAACGTATTTATTTGGATAAGGACTAATACTATTTGCTAATAAATATATTTGTGTATTTTTATTTTCATATATTAAATTTTAAGATAAAAATTGTTACTGTAGGTTATCCTTAGGAGATAGACATATACCATCGCGGGTATTTTGTAGACCTTTCTAAGATATACAATTCCGTAATTTTAAATTACTTTGATCTATCTCTTAAGGTTTAGGCAGCGTTTGCAATGGAAGCGCTTAAAAACATGCTTTATACGACTTTACATTACAAATCTTTGTTTACTCTACTATGATATGCTTGTATTATACATATAAATCTGTCTTTTGAATCACTCTCTCTGTTGGTGAAAACTGCATTAAAATCCATTGCGTAGTTTGAAAGATCTAAGCGTACAGGAAAAAAAGCGACCTTTATTTTATGTTATGTTATAAAGAAGAAGAAGTTATAAAGAAGATGCTTGTTGAAAGTATATTAAAATATAATTGCTACTGATTTGGAAATAAAAACTGTTGTATGTATGTCAGCTAATTAACCCGTGCAATTTTTTGTGTCAATTGGGACATCAATGACTATTAAGCCTAAAATAAACAGCGTGTAGTATTTGGCACATTGACCAACTAGTAGCCAGGAGCGACCGCCAATAAAGGTAAATAAATGAATAATTGAATTTTTCATTAAAAAAAATCAAAAATTATAAGTAATTTAGTTTTTTTTGTAGAGCTGTCACTAGTTCCACTGTTAAAATAATAAATGATGGAAGGCAATATTTTTAAGTAGATAGAATTTAGATGACCAAATCATGCCCAGCATATAGATACTGAAAAGTCCTACTAGGTTGCAAAAAAGTCAAACAGCTACAAAGTTTAACCATGTTGCAAAGATCAAGGGAGCAAGCATTTAAATATGTCTGCCGCGTTCTGCCATACAATGAATCATTGATTGCAAACCTGGCCATAAACATAGAATGCCTTTACATAGAATACAATCGACCGTCTCGCCTCTCGTTGTAATCATACGTTAAGCAACGCACTGGTACACTCCACAATACTCTAATAAAATCCTAGTCTCACCAAGATGGGTGCGCCGATTTAGTCACAGATATGCATTTAAAACGTTTTATATTTTAAATTGTGTCAAGGATAAAAATAACATACGGTTCGTGTCATTGTGTATGCTACGTCTAGCCTCATATGGGAAAATAAAGTTAATTCAATTGGTATACAAGCCAGTACGATTGTTACAATAGGTTGAAGAGGATTGTTGCCATTGCCATCGACCGAGGAAGACATTGAACCCTTGAACAATTACACAATAAATTCTGCATATTGAATCCCAAACAAACAGGCTACCCTTACTTCTTTTATTTAAATGTGGATCTATGGCATAAATTCATGACTCTATTCAGTTGCTTTTAAGTCTACAACACAATGTGTTGCAATTCGCAATTACATATTTTTGACTGCACGGATGTGGTGGTGACGTAGTGGTTTAAGCGGTCGCCACGCCCGCTTGCTACTAGGTTGAGTGTTGTGGGTCCGATCCCCCCATGGGACGACACTTTGTGTGATCCACAAATTGTTGTTCTGAGTCTGGGTGTTCTTTGTGTCTTTTCATGTATGTTTGTAAGGTCCCCCGCGACACAGGATATATTCCTAATGCGGAAGTTGTCTTCTTTTACAAAAAAAAGTATACATCTAATTTAATTGCGTCCAACTTTGTCCGAAAGTCTTTGTTTTCAAATCTTTTATCGCAGATTAGACAGTATCTGTCTAATCTGCGTTCAAATCAAAAGGCCAATTCTCGTAATAAAAATTCTGTCAAAATTCAGTTCCGATCTAATCCCGATCTCACAAATGTCATAAAAGTTATTTTCATATTAAAATATTAAACATCCAACATTGACTATAATGTGATTATCTCGTATAGCGACTGAAACTAGAATCGGTAATATGCTAGTCTTAGTAATACTTTACTATTTTACTACGAAAATACCTTTAATGATATTTGTGAGATCAAGAGTAGACCGGAACTGTATTTCAAAGCATTTTTATTACGGGAACTAACCCTCAGAACTTAATGGCGTTCATGTTACCGCGAAACGTCAGCACCATTTTCTCAAATAAAAATAATATACCAAAATGTTTTACAGGTTATAATTGAGGGGTATAGAATCAAAGCCAGCTAAATCCATAGCCTGGTAGGTATAGAACTATGAACGCTATTTGATTCCTTATCCAAATTTGTACATGTTAGGTAAACCGTTTGGTATCAAACGCAGCTATTTTTTAAAGAAAAACCACTTCAAACTGACTCGTTAGAATCAAAGTTAGCTTTATCCAGTATTGTCAGAAACAAATGCAGCTAAGTCCAATTTTTAATATGGCATCTGTCATACAAACGTGTGCGTCCGTGTCTGCAGTATTAATTAAAAATTTTAAACGTTTTTGGTCAATTTTCAATAAAAAAAGAAAATATTTAGTGCTATGGAAGTGCTAGTAACCGAAGCAGCACAAGAAAGTGTTCGAAAACGTTAGAGATAGCCGGTAAATTGGAAAGTAAACAAGGCAAAAATTGATAGGTAAGTATAGAGTAGTGATGTACTCACTCTCAATCAGTTTCGATAAAACTGTTGCATTGCAGGTACACATTTCGTCTTTCAACAGTTTTTATTACATTTACTTATCGCATTGTCTGTAATCAAATCTTACATGTTAAATTTGATCGACATTCCAGTTTAAAGTTGAGTTGAAATGCACGAATGGCGTTTAGCGGTCGCCCCGCCGCTTCCTACTACGCTGAGTATTGTGGGTAATACGCTAAGGATTTAAATTTGATTTTAGTATCTCAACTACGTACGATGAATAATTTTCTACTTTCTTAATAAATAATAAGGCCAAAAACATATGTCTATAACTTTGGCACATTCATAATCGTAACTTGTCATACTTTTCAAACTTTAAATTTTATGGTTTCCTTATTAGCTAACGAACGTACTATAATCTAAAATATTAATTTTGCTTTATAAATTCGAAATTCTGATGCATATCTGCTCTAATAACTCGATACCCAGAATCATAACGATACACTTCACCAGCAATAGAATTCTTGTTGGAATCAAAATCAGCTATATCCATACTAGTCAGAATCAGAGACAGCTAAATCCAGGACTTGGTATCAAAAACAGCTATGTCTAGCACAATTATTTAAATTAAACGGTTACTTTTTCTGCTAATTATGATTGTGTTGAAAAACCTATAAAATCACTGCAAGCGCCTCCTGCCAAATAAATTATATCTACAGAGTTACCAAGTAAAAATAAAAAAAAAGTTTTTTGGTATTTGTGTAAAAAAAAGTGTGGATGGATTTAGCTGCCTTTGATTGTATACCCCTCAATTATACAGTATGTACGAGTATAATATCTTTGGGCATATTAGACAGCGTCATCTGGAATTGGACTAAGCACAAGCTATGTATTTAAGAAAAGGAACAAAACATTGATAGAAACCCCATTATTAATGCAGATAGTCATATTCATGCGAACAAATATTACCAAAATCGATATTTTGCGTTCGGAATGGATCAATGGCAGAAACTGGGTGACTTATCTGGTATTATAATGTAACAACATGGACTTTAGAGTCCGTTTCATTCCAAGTTAGTACAAAGTCGAGAAGTTTCCATCAACAAAAATTAAATAACCCCTCGACTAGCAGTTAGTTCTTAAAAACTTTACTACAGCATTTTTATTTGTAACCCTCATTAAGATTTCGAAACATAATTTGATATGAAATCCTTTTCAGATTTTATCTTGATGAAAACAATAGGTAAAATAGGTTAATAGATATTGATTACGAAACTGAAGTTTACGAAACTGTAACTGATAACTATTGAAGAATCATTTAAAATATGGCTTGTATCGGAATTCAGTTGTTAATTAAACTTTCATTGGCCAGGTAACTAGTTCTTACTCTTTTGAGTTACAATGAGATTTGTCATTTCAATTTTATTACTAGTGACTCTTTTTGACGAGAATGTCAAATGCTCTGGTACGTATTTACACTTCCTTTATACCTGTTTAGTAAACTTTAAAGGTTTATAAAACAAGCATTCAAAAGCCAGTCTTATAAAACTCAGAAGTGCGAAAAATCTTTTCTTTAAAAAAATAGATAACCTAACACAATTTCACCGCAGTAATAGATAGATTTGACGAAAGTAAAACTAAAACGTTAATCATCATCATCATCAACAGCCTTTATAATCCACTGCTGGAGGTCCTTTAATCCTTAGAAAGGAAGTTTTGGCCTATTATACAACGCTGGCCAGATGGGTTTGTGTCAAGTTTTCCTTCTCTTCGCAGTGCTGTTCTCCTGCGTAGCTTGGTCCCTTCTCTCGACTTTTATGACACGCACGGGATGAATAGGGGTGGTGACTCTCCGTCTTCTTAATCCGTCACCACACATACACGCCAGTAATATATGAAAATAAATAATACCATTGCTACAATAGGTGGATTAAAGCAGCGATTGACCAAATAATAAATTCAATATTACTCTCCATTACTCTCTCTCTCAATATTACTAACTTCTAAACTAGTTTCTTTTTAAACTTTACCCTCAATACGTAGATTCAATAAAGACGTGCACATGATCCATATCCTATCCACTAAGTACCTACACATGTGTGTGGTTATAAAGATCTGGTTTATATCAATATCCTGTAATAATCTACCATCAAACACTCATTAATACTAAGACACGCACATATAGTAGGAGAACTTAAATTACTATAATATTATTTTAATTAATTATTTGTCTTTAAAACAGTGCAAGTAGTATAAAATATAGGGAAATTTTATTTTACGGCTTATGTTGAAAGGTATATTCCGATTTCCATTTCAGATGCCAATCTTCCAATTCATCAACCATCTGTGGAGGGAATTATTCAACACTTCAATGAAGTAGACAAGATGGACATGCCGAAAATAGATCCGATTGAGTTTGATTTAGTTGAATTAAGTTTGCCCGGAGAAATATTTAAGTTGGTATTACCGGGTGTGAGATAATAAATATCTTTAGATTTAATTGTCCATTTGTTAAATAATATTACTTCAAAGTACTATTTATTATTAGAGTCAAGCGAGCTAAAGAGGACCCACTACAATTTAAATTAAGCTTGTTAAAAACTTAAACAATATTAATGTTAATAATAATTTTGAAGAAAAGATGAAAAGTTACATCTGCTGGTTTAAGAGTAATAAATACTTAGTTAAATTTGAAAAATGAAAAATGTTGTACAAAGTACAAAATGTTGTTCTAAATAGGCGAGATACTCGTTGATAAAATATTTATTTGTGCAACTTCGTATCACGAAGATTATAATGCTGAATTTTATTCGTATATCTACCTAATAAATTTAATTTTCTTATTCATCAACAATCCTGTTGTATTGATTTTTCAGTGCCAGCTTAAATATATCACAAGGAAGTATATCTGGTTTGGGCAACTACCGTCTATTACAGCTGCAGTTCTCGAAGACGGAACCCGCGGTTACAATTAACATTATCTTTCCATTTATAAAATTCCATGCGGGTAAAAGTACTAAATATATATATATATATACATATTCCACACCAGCACGATTGCTAATAGCCTATATAAAATGCCTACTGGGTATTATTAATTTAAAGTTTTTATTGTATTACAGAATACTATGAGTTGGATGGACATATATTTTATGCTGTACCGATAAAAGGACAAGGATTAGCTGAGTGAGTATGTTTCCGTACCGTACAACTGTAACTTGATACATCTGACAACGACAACGGTATACAGATGACTTCCGAGTGCAAAATTTGGTAGCGGTACATTTTACAGATGTACCAACCCTGCATAAACTATATAGAATTTTATTTTAGGCCATAACACATATGGCTATGGCTTTGTCTTATGAATGGTACATTCAGAGAAAAACTAAGTAAAGTATTACTTTTTATTATTAGTAATTACTTAGATTTTTAAATATTTTATTTGAATAGTAATATAAACTATTTCAAAATCTCTTCGACAAAACTAAACAAAAACCGCTTCGCGCACTGGTGGAATCATCTTTAACTTGGAGTCAATAACTCGTCTGTCTCTGGAATCGATTTTCGAATTTCGCCTTCATTGTCCATACAATTTAGTTTCTATTCCTATTAAGTATCACATTAAATGATATCAAATTCCAAAATATGAGTTTGTAATGACAAACATTTTTTTTAACTACGAGTATATAACAATGAATTAAGTCTCCGAATTGTTTTTTATTTGTGTTAAATTGAAGAGAAGCAAGGTTACTTGGACTTTATTTTTATTAGGAACTCTATAGGTTTATAAGGTGATTATAAGGTTTGATTGTAAGGTGTAAAATTGTAATTTTTGTTTTGAAACTGTATAAAATAAAGAATACACTGTATTACAGTTTTGATCTCCACAATCTTCAATTAAAGGGCACTATATATTTGAAGAAAGCTACAAATAGCCCCGATGTGGTGATTGACAAGTTTGAAGACGCCGAAATAAACATTGAACGGGTGGTGGTAAGAAACAATTAAATACATTTCATTTAAATAAAACAACCAGAGATAACTAATAAAGTCTTAATAAAAAGACCGACCGTGATACGAAATCTTTAAAATGTTTTATTTATAACAGTATCGGATTCAATCTCGTATCCAAAGTAATGAATCAGTTATTAGTAGGGTCGTGATAAGGGCAAGCCCGAGCGGCCTTGCTGCAAACTGATGTTGATGTTGCTTTTCAGCAAGTGACTGAGGTTATATGAGGGGGGGTTTTTACTTAGAGGGCGGCACCGCACTTGTCTTAACAGGAAAGAGGAATATTAGCATAATTAGTTTACTGGACATAGTACTGGACAGTACATAGATATTAATTAGTACACTGGGTACCACATACGTGAGTTCTCAGACTAGTATTATGGGGAATCCTAATCTTAGACGGTCTATTGGCTTTAACTATACTACCAACAATTATTTTATAACTGTTGGTGAATAGTCCCTAAATACCTACATACAATACGTACCTACAAGGTGAAATGGGTGTAAGTAAAACGTGAGTGAGAATACAAGCAATGAGACGGCAGGACGGGAACACGGGAACATATTAGTGTGTCCATTCTGTGACTAGAAGGCCAATAGGGCAGGGTCATTATGCAGACTTTTTCTTTTATTTTCTATCAATTATAAAGTTGCTTTTGCCCGCGACTTTCTCCGCGTGTTGGTAGAGATCAGACATCGTAGTGGCTCCAATTAATCAAGAATATATGTATATGTATAAAAAAAATGTTGATAAAAGATAACTGACTGATCGTACAACGTCGTCGGTAAAGATGCACCGTAAGATAGTAGGTAAGTAGTTAAGGTATTATGACAATATTTCTTTATAAAGATCATTTTTAATCATTTTGTTAGTTTACATAAATTCCCAACACTATCTGCTAACAACCCCATTTAATCACTTTTAGGGGGTAAGGTCTAAAAAGTTCAAATTTTTATTATTTTTGATAAAGATTATAATTAAACTCAGAGTTCGGAATCGATAACTTATAAAAAGTAGTTCCCCATACAAACTTGTATCCCTTTTGACGGCCAAAAATTTGTAACGGTTTTTATTACTTTTAATAACGAATAATAACCAGAAATAACGAATTTACATAACAAATTCCATACCCCATTTTGCACCCTTACGAGTGATATTTTTATAATACCTTACTGCACACCTACGTCCCCTAAGGCACCGTTGTGCAAAATTTATTGCTTCTACACCCAGAGGTTTCAACTGTGCCTTGATCGATCAGTCAGTGAATCAGTCTATCAGTTTCTTCTTTTATAGATAATCTTAAGTAACTTGTGGACTTAATATTAGGTGCCAGCATATATTTATTTAACAAACATAAAACCTTGTATAGTAAGAATTTTATTGACTGCTTTAGTCGGATGGGTAAACGTAACGTAAAATACTATCAACCTAACCTAAAATTAATATGACACAGAATTAATATGTATTGGTTATTTTGGTAAAATTATTAATAAAGAGTAAGAATTCTTACTTTGTTATTAATAATTTTACCAAAATAACCAATAGGTTATGGGCCCAGGCACATAATAAGTAAATACTAATAATAATTTCAACAAAAACTCGAGTAAAGAGCAAGATTACTACCGGTGAAAAATTTGCCCGTAGTATAATGGAGGTTACGAACGCGATGAAAATTGAGAAGTTTGATGGAAGAAATTTCAAACAATGGAAGTTTCAAGTCAAATGTGCATTAAGAGCAAAGGGCTTAAACATAGAAAAGGCAAGACCCTTGGAAGCCAGTTCGCAAGTGTAGTGGGATAAAGATGATGGCATGGCCATGTTCATTTTAACATCGTCCATGGATCTTAACCAAATATCTCTTATAGAAAACTGCGAGACTGCTAAAGAAGTTATGACAAAGTTGGAAGCAATCTATGAACAGAAATCAGAATATAACAAGATGTTAATTCATGAAAAGTTTTATCAATATTCATATAGTGCTAGTGATACGATGGCACAGCACGTGTCTAAGGTGGAAGGCTTGGCAAAGGAGCTACGGGAGACAGGTGAGAAGATCAGTGACACAGCAGTAATCACAAAGATTTTAAGCACATTACCATCAACATACCGTTCGCTTAGACAAGCATGGTTGTCACTCGATGAAGATAATCAAACAATTCAAAACCTTACTTCTCGCTTAGTAGATGAAGAAGCTAGCCTTGCCAACGACACAAGTAGTAATGAGACTGCATTAGTGACGTCAAAACCAAGTTTTATGAAGAAACAGTTTACTTCAAACGGTCAAAGAAATTCAAGTCACAGATTTGTATGCTACAATTGCAATAAAAGAGGTCATTTTGCTAAAGATTGTAGGATGCCAAAGAAAAGATACAATGATAAGAAACCTAATAATATGTTGGCATTCAGCGCTGAAGGTTGCTCATCTGAACATGATGAAGAGGCATGGATACTTGACAGTGGAGCCTCAATGCACATGACTTTCAAGCGTGACTACTTCTGTGAGTTGAAAGAGTCTCAATACAATAATTCTGTTAAGTTGGGTAACAAACAGAGTATCAATGTATGTGGTGAAGGAACTATACTGATAGATAAGCAAGTTAATGGTACATGGGAGAGATGCACACTTGAACATGTGTTATATGTACCTGATTTAAGGAGAAATCTGTTTTCTGAAGGCGCTGCCACTAGAAGAGGATATGTAATAGTAAAGGATAATGAAAAAGCAATGATTATGAAGAATAGTGTGGTTGTTATGTGTGCACAATTGACAGAAAACAATTTATATGAATTGGATGTCAAAACAATCAAACAAGAAAATTGTAATATTGTGCAAACAGATATAAAAGTTTGGCATGAAAGATTAGGACATTTGAATGTCAAAGAACTTCAAAACATGAGTAAAAATGGTGTGATTCCAGTTGCATTGACAGGAAATCAGAATTTTGTTTGTGAAGCGTGCCAATATGGGAAGCAAGCAAGACGCCCCTTTTTGAAATCTAACCGAGGTCCAACACAGCCTGGTGAGATTGTGTACAGTGATGTGTGTGGTCCTTTAGAAGAACCTTCTGTCTCTGGTGCGAAGTACTTTGTCTTATTCAAAGATGGAGCTACAAGCTATCGCCATGTTTACTTCATGAAACATAAGAGTGAAGTATTTCAATGTTTTCTGAAGTACAATGCAATTGTGAAGAATAAGTTTCAACGTGATTTGCAAATACTTCATACAGATAATGGTTGTGAATATGTAAATCAAGAATTCACAACATTTCTGGAGAATAAAGGAATAACGCATGAACGTACTGCTCCGTATACACCACAACAGAACGGGAGAGCAGAGAGAGAGATGCGTTCTATCATGGAAACTGCAAGGACAATGATACATGCAAAGGACCTTCCTTTATATTTGTGGGCAGAAGCTATCAACTGTGCAATATATTTGTTGAATAGAAATACATCAAGCCAAAGAGGAGATGTTACACCATTTGAACTGTGGCATGGAGTAAAACCTAACTTACAACATATCAGAATATTTGGATCTATTGGTTATGTACATGTTCCAAACGAAAAGCGAAGGAAGCTTGCCAAGCAAAGCGTAAAGATGTTATTAATTGGATATGACCATGATAACTACAGAATGTTTGATCAAAATACTAGAAAATAAAAAACCAAGCAATTTTTCCAACTCTAACTAATGAGATATAGTTGGATGGATGTATCTTATTACATCTTTTTTAATTTAGACTGTTTTTAAAATTGCCAATATTCAATGTTCAGTTACAGATATACCTCAATTTTGAGAATTAAGCGTTTAAGTAGCAGAAAAAGGAATAATGTTCTTTCTTCATTATTTGGTCTAAGTAAATCTGTCTTTTATATTCTTTCATTGTTTACAGTCACGCACGGAGTTCGATCACAACATAGACAAGATAATTAGCGCGCTCGTGGAGGACCTGCTCGCTGGATACATTAACCGTTTCAACAAATACATACTATTTACGTACAGTGAGACCATCATTGAGTACATCAATGGCATAATAACCAACATTAAATTGTCATAAGATTTATTTGTTTTATTTTTCATTAGGTTTTTGGCAGCCTAACGTAGGAGTTTCACAGAATTAGACAATAGAACACAATTTTCGGGAGATGTACGTCCACAGATTAAGAGATATATGTACAATAGTCCTTTGTGGCTGACTAAGACAGATATAGCATTACTTAAATTAAAATATTATCCCACTCATGATGATTTTTTTAATAACATTCAGGCTGTATAAAAAACAATTATTCTAAAGTAATAGTAATAATAATATTTAACCACAGTCACACATCGCCATCTAGTTCCAAACTGAGCAGAGCTTGTAATATGGATACTGGAAAACGAATTTAAATACATATTAGTTGTTTTGTCAATACAAACATATTATATATAGAAACACCCACACCAAATCAAACATTAGATGTCTATACACACAAATGTTTGACTTAGGCGGGAATCGAACCCGCGACTAGTGGTCTGGAATATTGTCAAACCGAGTTGTATGATGAGTTGACCAGCGAATGTAACATACGAAAGCAAAGTGCAACATGATTCGATGGGATCAATTTTTTTTTTTTTTTAAGACAACTCCCGCATTAGGGAAATATCCTGTGTCGCGGGGGACTTAACAAACATACATGAAACGGACACAAAGAACACCCAGACTCAGAACAACAATTTGTGGATCACACAAAGTGTCGTCCCATGTGGGGTTTGAACCCAGAACACTCGGCGTAGTAGGAAGCGGCGTGGCGACCGCTTAAACCACTACGCCATCCGTGCAGTCATAATTAAACCGTCTTTCTACGGTTTGCAACCGAGTTTACATACAATTGTAAAACTTGACATTATCTACATTAACCGAAGACCGACGCGGCGACGGTATAAATTGTTTGATACTCTAACTACCCAGTCAAGTAACACGATAAGAAAACACAACACGTAAGAAAAATATGTCCGTTAGATCCGAAAGGTTAATAAATCGGTTTATGTATAAAATTATTGTTAAACAACGGGCGCTAACCATATCCGATTTTGTAGGAACATAATAATATAGTTTGTGCTTGTAGTTAAATTGATAAAGATTTTGTATCGTGTCGCGTCGACTCGGTTCAGAATCATTTGGTAGATAAATCAGTTTGGTTCGGTCGGTAAAGCAGGAGCCGCGAGCGCGATGGTACGACGCGAAGTGCGATCTTATAACACGGCTCAACCGGTTTAAACCACGGGCAAACCGATTCAACTATTAACTATATTACTAGCTTAAATTTACCATACAGAATGGTATCAAAGAAATGTACAACCAACACTTTCACTGTAGCGCATCAAAATATTCAAGGAATGTCTAGAAAGCACCTTTTTTTTCCGTGCGCAAATCCCCTCGGATACCACCTATCGGTGGCATGTCGGACTCGAACCGACTAAAACCTACGCCGTCTCGAGTACTAATAGCCGGGGAACCAGGTATACCCTAGAAAGGAAGTCCCTGGTGCCCCGATATACCTCGGGCCATCTACAACAACAGGTAGACGACCAACCCCGTGTGGGAACCCCATGTTCCCTCTGCTCCCTGGAGGCGAACGCGCTTCGCAACGCGCTCGCCGCCACCCCGGCCTGCTTCTGCTAGGGTAACAGATGGCTCTAGTACCTAGAAATTGAATTGTTCATGAGCTGTGACAAAATTGATATTCTTTGTATTACAGAACATTGGCTAAAATGTCATCAGCTCATGTTTAACTTCAGTAATCATATATTAGGTGGTTCGTTCAGTAGGGAGCGTGCTGTACCTTGCGGTTCATTAATTTTCGGTTCCGGTCCGGTTCCGGTTTATGCTCAAACCGGTTTAAACCGGTTTGAAAAGTGAAGTCGTCACACCACTACCCGCTACCTTTGCCGTAGCAGTCTCGAAACACAAATTACTACGCCATTCGGCCATCAAAAGCAAATTAATAAAAGTCAGTACAGTTTTTTAGTTAACAGTGATTAAAAAAAGGAAGTACTGATATGAACCTCTCGAACTCCAAGTACATACGTGCCTGACAAAACATACTGTGAACTTCTAGAAAGGTCTTAAAGCTCGGTCTAAACAATTGTTCCTTAATAACTGAATCAAGTACCGGCAGTAATATTATAACCTCTTTTCCACCTACACAATATGTTTTTTTATAAATCTAATTCCTTCTGTTCACTAACTAATATTTAAATTAATGAGAAGTCTATTAGAGAGTCTAGTCTACTAAGTCTACTTATAACTTTACTGCCTCCACTTCATATACCTTCCTCACCTCGTTAGTGACAGCAGTTGTGCAAGTCAAAGTCAGTTGTGTCGGCTCCAATCTGAAACTTCCTTAGCGGAGGTTTGCCTAGAAGGAAGAAGATACCATTTGTCGTATCAACTCCGTTTTGAGAGCACCTCCCTAACTGCCTCAGCCAGCATTGGAATCCTAGGCATCGACATATCGAGCCAAGTCCAGTTTCGGGGTCATTTACAGGGTAAGGTCAATTTGGCCTCGAAGAAACTCGGTGTGCTGAACAGATCAAGGCAGTATTTCACTCCGGCCCACCGCCTTCAGCTCTATAAGGCGCAAGTCCGGCCGCATATGGAATACTGTTCTCATCTCTATGCAGGGGCACATCAGTACCAGCTTCTCCCTTTGGACCGCATCCAACGAAGAGCGACTCGAATCGTCGATAGCCCAAACATCTCCGATCGGCTCGATCCCTTGGCGTTACGTAGAGATGTGGCCTCACTCTGCACTCTCTATCGCATATATCATGGCGAGCGCTCCGAGGAATTGTTCGGACTAGTACCAGCCGCAACTTTCTGCCATCGCTCCACACTGCAAATTTTTCATCCTCATCACCTGGATAGTTGGCGCTCCACTACTGTGCGCTTTTCGACATACTTTTTTGCCCCGCATTACCAGTCTGTGGAACGGGTAATCGTCTGCGGTATTTCCGGACCGATACGATCTTCAAAAGAAAAGAAAAGAGCGTACTCCTTCCTAAAAGGCCGGCAACGCGTTTGTGACATCATAATTAGAAGCGGCCTGCATCAGCCACCATCCTGCATACGTCTATTTGCGATCGTACAATATCAACTCTTAACCTTGGTGGTTGACATGCTACGCTTTCCTGTCTCCTCTCTCTGTAATTTCCATAATTCCTTAATTGTGATTCGATAGCACCGGAAAAACCCGAGCAAAGCCTTCTCCGTAGCTCGTTCAGCAACTCTGAGCTTCTTTTTATCAGTAAAAGTAAGGCAACACAAATCATATAAAGCAAATTAACGCTAAAATTTGGATAATGACATAATGCTCTTAAAATAATGCAGGCTAATCTTTTATGGTATATGGTTGCGCCTGAAAACCAGCAGACGTATCTCCTAATGGTAAGTGACTACCGCCGCCAATGGACAAATGCAACTCAAGAGACACAATTGCATTGCTCCCAACCTGCCCCTCCCACCCTTCACCCCCCGGGGAAAAAGCAACGAAGGAATTGTTTAACACGAGTTTTCTGTTCGGTGACGACGCATGGCTCTCCCTCGGTAAATTAATCCAAAGACTTTCACAAATAATCATACTTCAACATAAATAAGCAGCTAAATGTTTTGTTATACTTTATATAAGGTTATATTTTGTAATTGTATAATTCTAATTCGAACTTTACACACCAGATACGCGAATGAAGTATTTTAATAGAGCAAGTTTTTTAAATACTAAATAGTCGTTTTCAATTTATATGAAATGCCGTAATTTGCATCGGCATCAGGTCACCAAAAGATGAAAAAGATGTCAACAACCGGTCACCATTTCTTCCTTCTAAGGACGTATGTCGGCCCTTTTCATCACCTGTATTTACGGTAGGAGAACTTCCCTATAATTAAAACAGAATCTCCTGCAAAAATATTTCTGTATTCTTCACAAACCTAATAGCTTAACAAAAAAGTTCTACAAAAATACTTCAAAACTATTTACATCACGTTTCTAAGATATTCTCAAAACGTAGCTCTCGTGAATCACGACTAGCAATGACTGAGTTCTTAGTAATATAAAATGTATTAGATATACCTATAGAGTACCTATAGTAGTTTTTAAATGTATCCTAGTTACCTTTGAAACGTACTTAAAGCAGAAGGAGGATGCAGGTGTACTTTCAGAAGAATTAGTTTTACTCAATTTTCCATGGTTTTCTTATTTCAATTAAAAGCTAAGTTAAGCATCCAAATTTAAATTTTATATGTATTATGTATGTAATTTATTTTCAGTACGCCTTTGTACTTGTGTACAAAATCGCACTTAAAACATTATTTTAATGGATTATGAGAATACTGAACCTATGATTTAATCGATTTCAAGAATATAAAATTGTACACTATCATACTTAGGTATTTCTTTGTACAGCCTTGGGTTTTTTATCTTAATGTTTCTACATAATTATGGGGTTCAGTTTCTAATTGAACAAGCAAATATATCTAATATATCTAAGAAATTTGTATTCCTATTTATATATTTCATATAATGAAGAGGATAAAATCTTAAAATTTCCGATTATTTAAAACATTGATATTCGATACCTATGTATGTTAGTTTCACCAAATGTCAGTCATTAAATACTTATTCAACTACATCATTACTGTGTCATAGGCCGGGAACACGGGAACATATCAGAGTGTCCGTTCTGTGACTAGAGAGGCAAAAAGGACAGGGTCATTATGCAGACCTTTTTCTTTTTTTTCCATTAATTATAAACTGGCTTTTGTGTATGTCTAATTGAGACATCGTAGTGGTTATTATTAAAATACTTCTTTATAAAGATCATTTTTAATCATTTTTATTAGTTTACATAAATTGCCAACACTATTTGCTAGCAACCCCAATTAATCACTTCTAGGGGTAGTTCTGGGGGCGTCAGTCATTAAATACTTATTCAACTACTTCATTATTATGTCGTTAAGTAATTACTAAAGCTACTTATTTTTTTAATATACGAAACCTATAAACAGTTATTGAATCCACTTCTCAGTACTAAGTTGTATCGTTAATTGTTATGAAAAATTGGATCTGTCTATTTATAGTGAGTGTAAATTATAGAAGTTATTTTAGTATATGTGTGAAATCGGATAGTGAAAAAAAAATGGCGAGTAGACGACTTACTCGATATATTATAATCTACAATCACAACTACACGACCGAGCATCCAAGTCAAGCCGCATGCCAACGACATGCCATCTGGTTTTCCCGCTTCATGTACAAGGCCCTTTATTCTCAGACCATACTGGAAACCCACAGTTCCAAATACGATGACTAATAATAATTTACTTACACCTCACGTTTTTCCATTTAATTTTGGCATCGAAAATCTCGGAGTCGCTTCTCATTTCAACCTTATAACGTGTTTAAAAAAACTTTACCTCGAGTATATGTATATCCAAGGTGAACCGACTGGTCACTTCGGAACGGGTTTCATATCGTATAAGCCTTTGAATTATAATACTAAACAGCGAGGTATAGCGGCAACGTGTACAGGTCACGCAACTACAACACTACCGAGTGACGCGACGGAGGAAAACGATGATAAAAATAATTATAGTTCTCATGAGTATGACATAGTTGTGCGCAAAGATTCTTTATAAACTCGCAGACTAGTTAATAATATTATAAACCAAAGAACGCTGTAGCACAGATAACATAAACCTATACGATAACATTAATATTTTTACATTTTTACACTAAATCTCTACAGATTTAATATCAAAAAGTGACAGTTTTTATTTTAACTATTGTTTCGTGATACAGTGGAAACGGATCAAACGGGGGATGTTTTGACTTTGAATATTGTAATCAGTTTTTTTCTGAATAAATTAGCGAACGAAAACTGGTTTATAAAAGATATAATTTGTTATATGAAGATGGGTCTGAAGTCTGTGGTGCATAAGTAAGCGTTCAACGCACTTGGATAGACAACCTGCGCGGGCGTATAAGTTCTCGATAATTTTTATTTGTTTTTAAAATGAAATTCGTTTGGATTCTGTGTGTGTTGACAACAGTGACTTTTTGTGATGCGTCCCTGTTAGAGGGAATTCTAAATGGAGCTCATGAAGCGGCTGGTGCTTTTCTTGGCGGACTTACTAGTGGTGTTCATTTTGGTTTTAATGCACAAGGTGGTCATCAACGCTATCCACCCCGCCCTAACGGACCTCATAGACCAGGAAAACCGGAAACAGTCGTAGTCGTCGTAGAAGATGAGCCAGATCAACCAAACATAGGGCGCCCGGGACAATTGAATACAAACGGATATGGTAACTTCAATAAACCGCGTCCCAATAACGGCTTTGATCAAAACCCCTACCAGCATCAAAATGAAAATGGTTATCAGAATCAGAATTCAAACAATTTTAATCAAAACGGTAATTGGAATAATCACAATCACCAAAACGGGCCAGGTCAATATGGCAATCAAAACTTAAAACCGAACCACCAGTTGGGTCCCAATCCCAACAACCATCAAATAAACCCAAGCAATCCACAAAACCCACACAGCTCCAATAACCAAAATAATCAATATGACAATTCCAATAATCGACCTATCAATCCAAACAATCAATATGGAAATGCTAATAATGGCCCCCTCAACTCGAACAGCCAATATGGGAAACCCAACAATCAGCCTACTATTCCAAATAATCAATTCGGAAATTCCAACAATCAACATGGAAATACCAATAACCGGCCTCTAAACCCGAACAGCCAATATGGAAATCCCAACAATCAGCCCACTAATCCAAACAACCAATTCGAATATTCCAACAACCAACAAGGAAATTTCAATAACCAGGGTCAACACACAAATTCTAATAACTTTGGAGACGTTAACCGTCCTTCTTATTCTACTATCGAACCAAACCAAGGCCGACCAAACAATCAAGAACAAAATGAAGACCACACTATAGGAAAGCCTCCAGTGGACAATACTATGAAATTCCCTGGACAAATTAATCAAGGGAGCTCTGATAACATAAAGCAGAACAACAATGAACACAAAACAGATATACACAAAATCAAAAATAACGTAGAAAACTCTACAAAAGACCCCACAGGGGCCGATGAGTATCCTTTGTTCCTCCCACTAAGTCCGAATGAATATCAATATGGAGGTGACAAAATAGATGTTAATGGCCCCAAACGTGACGCAGATAACAGTAAACCGAAACCAGCAGATGATGACGAGGAATTTCAAATTGACATAAGAATTGACAATAAGTAAAAATATCAAAAACAGTCAATTAAAATACTGATCGATCACTCAAATGATAGCGTCAGTTGCATTTCGAACGGTGAATTTTTATTTATTTAAAGTTGTTCTATGTTGTGTATAATATAAATACATGTGACAGATGTGAACAAACATTTTTTAAATATATTTATTAAAAATGTGAGGTAATAACGATAGGCGTTCGCGTCGAGTTTATTTTAGTTTTGTTAGAGTTTAAATAGAACCTTGGTAGTGTTTGGTTTGTTAGGATTATAGTTTTTACTAAATTAAACGTACCCTTCTCATAAGGAAACAAAATTAAGAATCTGTATTTAAACTTGTAATTTAATAAATATTTTCTATTAAATATCGCACTTAATACGATTGTTTGAATAATAAATACTCAGGCTTAATATTTACTTGCCGAGACATCATAAATATGTTAAATTTCACTTAATGGCTTTTGCATAGTCATAATAAGTAGTTACAAGAAATACTCCGCCATTAAAACGTGAAAAAACACACCAGATGATTTAAGATCTCATGTTCAAGTCACGAGAAGGAAACTACGTTTTATTTAACACTACATGTGAACGATTATATTAAAAACAAAAAGTGTTTTTCTTTTATGAAACACTGTATTGCCTTCAAAATACTTATTATCAAGACAATGGCTAGTCTATATATCTTCTATAAATAATGATTTGACATTTAAGGCGAATACTTTTGTCATGGAATCGTTACAGTTTAATGTAATTCGTAATCTTATAATTTAAGATATTTTGATTAACATACTTGTTTATCACATACTTGACAGAGAATAAATGATGTCATATAATGATGCCACATATAAATCTGATTTTTTATTCATCTTATTTTCCTTCTATTTACTGGATTGTAATTGAGGCGAGTAGACATTCATACATGTATTTAAGCTTTAGCAAGAGTCAGTTAAATATTTATACATAAAAATAATAGTTAACACCGGTCTTTACTATAAACCATGTCTACTCCAAAGAAAGTAAGAAGCCTTTTAGATAAATAAGCCAACAAAACATTGTATGGTCAAATGATACTTTTCGAATAGAAAATGATATTGTGAAATATAAACATGATTTTATTAATTAATGCAAAATCCACCTTTAACTTACATCGACATGATTAAATTACTCATTTAATATAGACAAGGATTCAAAATAATCTTGCGTGCGTAGATACTTGTAGCGAAGGTTGTCCATTTATAGGTCCCACGAAACTATCATCAACTTAATGGCTTGGCCTTAAATGCAAAAAGCGTGAAGCCAAATGAACAACAAACAGATTCCTTATAACGTCTCCAACTGTATCTCAATAAAGACATCCCTATCTGTTACTAATATAAAATAAGTTTCTACACTTATATTACCAACGAATTCCTACAAGTGAGACATAATCCTGTCATGAGTGAGTTACTCATCGTTCTCGCTTTAACAGCAGTAGGAAAAATCCACGGCCAGGGAGCAGTCGCGTCACAAGTCTTGCAACTAAAACCTTTGCCCGTCATTGACCACCAACCGGTTTCATATTTCGAACAACAAAGATTTCAAACACCGACAGCGACACCACGCCTGTATACGAACGCATTTCGACCAACTGTTCACGAGAATTCACAAGATAACGGAAGTGACAATATTGACTTCACACCAACGACCGTGAGAGGGACTGAGCCGAAGCGGCGACTTTTTACATCAGTCAGAGTACCAGCTGAGATGTATCGACCTTCAGAAATTACTGAGACTGCGAGTAGTAGAAGTAGGTACCACAGTGCCGATATAAAAAAAGAAAATAACGTTAAAGAAGACAGAGTACTGACGTCAAATGATAACGTAAACTATGTTGTGCCACCAGAAATCACAAACAATCCAAATAAAAATGTGACTACAGTGACGCATAAAATTAATCCGGATAAAATACCTTCAGTTGTCGATGTAGATGAACGGTCATCATTTGATGGTGATATGTGCCCGCCCGGTTCTGTGCGAATAAAGGGTGTGTGCGTCCAAAAGGATTAATGAAATATTGAAAAAAAATGTGTGAAAGTGCTACAGTGTCAAGCAGGATGGAATCGTTTTAAAGTTACGCTTTTAAGGTCAAACGTGAAGAACCAGTAAAATTCGTTAGTGCAAAGAAAAAAGTTTATTAGTTAGTCGTAAAAATTATAAATATTAAGTACAAATTATGTTAAAAACATAACATAAAGGTTTTAATTAAAAAATAATATTGATGTATTGAATACATAAGTACATACAAGTGTTTTATTTTCTATCTACTAAGTAGGTACTAAATTAAAATACACGAATTAATATTGTGAATAATGTTAAAGATTTCATCACTGAAGAATATAAATATTTATTCCATTTAGCCATGTTACACTTTAACATATCTTTCAGATTTTCAATGCAATGCACTAGGTAAGTTATACATTTGATACCTACCTAATCATATTGTAATTAGAATTTCTGGAGTTAGTTTAATTAGCAAGAAGTAGGTATATGCAGTTATTAAATATCAATCTGTAATAGTATAGTATAGTAGGGAAATAATGTTAATAAATATTTTAATAAGACATATTTTGTATGCATTCAACCTTCGAGAAGGCCTTCTAAGTTATAAAGTTGACTATACTACTTGTCTTTAAATAGGTATAAAACGAAGTCGCTTCCCATTCCTGTACGCTTAGATCTTTTAAACTACGCAACGGATTTTAATGCGGGTTTCACCAATAGAGAGAGTGATTATGATAAATGCATATTAGGTACATTCATTCACACCACATTGGTATCTTAATATAAATTAGAACTGCACATGCGATCGGCTTTAGTATCATAGGTAGAAAAAAAAAATTGTAGATCAAAAGTAAAACTTACAATCTACAGATATGAATATGATTATATATGTATTTTAAAACGACTTGTAGGTATTATATAGGATTTTATTATAAATTAATTAAAGCTTCGAAAAGAATAAATATAATTTCAAATACAAGTTTTTTTTTTGAAGCTTTAATTATTTTAATGATAGGTAGGTAGTACAGGTGATAGTTCAGCTAAACAAAGTTCTCAGTAATATGATTTTGACTTTTCTAAAATGAATTAGCACTATATTTTCTCGTGATCTCAGTTTTCAAAACAGTAATTATATGATTACCTAACAATTCTGAATAAATGAAATTAGAAAATAACGTTAGTGGTAAAATGTAAGTTCACGTTTTAAATAAACTTTTGTACTAAAAGATAAAATGAAACTCAAAATACCGCTATGAGCGTGGTTTTGTCACTTTCTGATTCACAACGGTAACCGAATTTAAAGGTGCCTATTGCACATTTAAATAAAAGGAATGTGCAAAAAATAGACAGACCTAAGATATTTATAAAGGTTTCTATAAAGATTAAGTTATATCATCTTAATTTTGCGTAAGTATGAATATGTATATGCTGTCGTAGGTAGTACATTTTTACTTGTGTGACAGATTCATTTTTTGTATTCATGTTTTTATTATTCCAAGAAATAAACTGTGTGAAATATGTGATGTCAAGTCACAGAAGTATATTGCATCCATACTTATAAGTACTATAAACTAGCTGACCCGCGTAACTTCGTCTGCTTCCCTTAAAAGGAATAAGTTTTGCACGTTTTCTTGACATTTTTCATGGATACTGTTCTCCTAATGGTCGTTGATGTTATATAGCCTATATCCTTCCTCATATCCGACACTAATATAATTTTTAAATTCGAAACCGTAGTTCCTGAGATTACACCGAACATACAAACTCACAAACTTTACCTTTTTATAATATTAGTATAGATTAGGATTTTCACAGTCCTCTGTCTCATTCACTTACTCACAGTCGTCCGAAAGTTATGCGAGTGCATACATTTCGGCGATTCATTTTCATTTATAAACTAGCGATCCGCTCCGGCTGTGCAATGTAGATACTACTAAAACTATTACGTGGTGTCAGTGTGGAGCAATTAAACTATTATTATGTTAAGACTATACTACAGGACATCTTTATACGCAATATTTATACTCCCGCTCCGCTCCTGCCGGCCGCTGCTACGGCCAATCACGGACGGACGGTTATACCATCACGGACTTTTTTGTATATCTTTAAGTATTTGTAATGTAAGCGTGTTATTACGACTACATTACAAATACTTAAACATATATGTAAGTATGTTTTTTACGACTTCACATTACAAATCTTCATCATCAGCGAGTAACATAGGTTACTTTTTACCCCGATAAAAGACATACATCATCAATTATTGCATTCCAGTTTGGGGCGGCGCTTCCGACACCAAGTTCCTTCAGGTGGAGCGAGCAGAAAGACCTGTACTTAAGATGTTACTTTGTAGACTGCTCAGCTGTCTTGTCTACAACAACTTAACCAGACTCACTACAATAACTGGCCTAAACCATCATGAAACCAAGTCTAAATTAAAAATGTATCTACAATAAAGCAATTCCTTTCAAACAGAAGAACTACTACAACCCCATAAGTAGGCAATATGCATGCACTTCCACTACACTCACACTCTTCCACGCATAAAAATACACCTACACATATACACTCACCATTACCACACACACGCACACACACACATACATCTTTCTCTATTTCCCACATAGTTTATTACAGTTTGATGATAGTGTAATTTACTTTTGGACTTCAAAACCTTCATTAAGTTCTCTGTATAACATGCAACCTGTGGTAATAATATTATTCAAGAAAGAATCATTATGTCGGCAGAAAACTAACTTCCAAGTCACAGGAATACCTAGTTTTGAGAGTTAGGGTTTTTTTTTACCTGTGGACCCTTAACCGATATATTAAATAGTATTAAGTACAATTTGTTGAAGGTTATTTAGATAAATAAATATTTATTTATATTTTTCGGTTACATTTGCTCTGAAAGATCATGCAAAATAAGTTTCGTTATAGCCTCGTTTTAAACCATTGCCTTATATTTTTAATGAACAAATGTGTTTTATTAGTAGTTGGTATAGCAATTATAAAACATGAATTGTTCAGGATTACCCAAATGAAAACTTATTATAACTCCTCTCAGTTTTCTCTAAATTTTATTGCTCATCGGGCCACGTTAAGTTCGTGAAGGATCTCTTTGGTAAAACACTCTCCACTCAGCCTCGTGAGGACTGGTGAGATACACTAGTAATGACGAGCTGTTTGTGTGACTGATTTTAATGTTGAACACAAATTGGAGTTTTAGTAATCTCCTATTCCAGTCTTACCGCCTGTCAATTTCTTTAGCCGAGTTCTTCTTTCCCATTCCAACATATTAAACAAGATACACATACGAGTCTGCTCTCTCTAAGACATTTTACACAGACGTTTTCGGTTTTTTTATTTGTTTATCTGATCTTAGTTTTGTAAAGTTTCATTTCCCAGCCACGGTTGTTAGATGCTTGATTGAGTTCCGGTAAAGAAAACAATTCGTTATTTTATATATTTCAGTGGACTTCTACATGGTATCGGTGCCCTAAATTAGAATTTATATCAGCAATTCGCTGATGGTAGTCTTCTACGACTTACAGTAGTTTATTTTGTTCAGAGATTTCACTGGATTTTAGAGGATATTAAAATTCAAGACGTCTATGCTTTTTAATAATGATGATTTTCCTTGCTGTACGTTAGCGTAGAATTTATAAAACCGTTACCATAATTACCTAGCACAGTTGTAGAATCACCCTGTTTTATGCTTATTTTGTCCTTGAAGTCGCAAATGATTATTTTGTACCATACGTACATACATACCATAGCTTTTTATAACCATTATTTTTTTTCAATATACAACTTAACATTACGATTAAACTTGACATAACGAGTTAGCCATACATGTGTTTCTATATATACATTCACAAATTAATTATTTCTATTGGGTTATTTGAGGTTGTATAGATTTATACATACAAGTTAAAATTTTAATTTCATATCAACTACTCCTTTTGACGTAATGTTTTATCTAAAATCACACTGTTTAAGTGGCACAATGACGACGTGTTTTAAATTGCATATTATCTGGTAAATTGCTGTCAGTCTTACTCATAGTTACTTACGTGTAGGTATTTATATGTTATGTCCATCGACAAGTAAATAAACATTACTACTCGTAATAATGCATCTCATAATGCCCGGCAAATTAGACTAATTTGAAGTCGAATCGGACTACTTGACAAAAACTTATACATTACACAAAACTGTATAAGTATTAGGCATGTCAATAGTTATTAATATTATTTAACGGGAATTAACGCGATCTCTTATTTAGGGTATTACATACCTCTGGTTTGCCTGACGTTTCGACCAGGTTGCACCGGCCGTGGTCACAGGCTGACTGGCCGGTGACCACGGCCTAAATAAGAGATCGCGTTAATTCCCGTTAAATAATATTAATTATCATGGAACGCGAAAGTTTAAAAGTTAGTATAGCAAACCGCTACGGGTCGGAAATTGCAAAACAAGTGCGTCACCTAGGAGCCTGTGACCACGGCCGGTGCAACCTGGTCGAAACGTCAGGCAAACCAGAGGTATGTAATACCCTAAATAAGAGATCGCGTTAATTCCCGTTAAATAATATTAATTATCATGGAACGCGAAAGTTTAAAAGTTAGTATGTCAATAGTTAGGTCGATTAAGCATTATATTAAGCATACCCAATGATATATAAACAAGCATACCGTTAAGAACAAGAATATAACATGACAGCACCGTGGTATTTTACACGCCCGCTCTGCTAGAATACAGTTAGTTTTTATTGAGTAGAATGTTAGAATAGCGCCAGAAGAAAGACGTCTCTAATATATTCGTAGTTGATATGGTTGTGACATCGTGTAGTTATTGTAATACAGGTTACCCAAATGTGTAACAAAATTATGAAGATGTTTCATCGAATCTCCGGCTCTAACGGTTAACTTGGATGTCGGCAACAAAACAACTATAAAACACACCATACAGCAGTCCGTTGTTTTTTTAAAGGTGTTATTAAA